TGTCTGCTGTCCTAGTACACCTTTCTGCTGTCCTAATACACCTGTCTGCTGTCCTAATACACCTGTCTGCTGTCCTAGTACACCTGTCTGCTGTCCTAGTACACCTGTCTGCTGTCCTAGTACACCTGTCTGCTGTCTTATTACACCTGTCTGCTGTCCTAGTACACCTGTCTGCTGTCTTAGTACACCTGTCTGCTGTCTTAGTACACCTGTCTGCTGTCTTAGTACACCTGTCTGCTGTCTTAGTACACCTGTCTGCTGTCTTAGTACACCTGTCTGCTGTCCTAGTACACCTGTCTGCTGTCTTAGTACACCTGTCTGCTGTCCTAATACACCTGTCTGCTGTCCTAATACACATGTCTGCTGTCCTAATACACCTGTCTGCTGTCCTAGTACACCTGTCTGCTGTCCTAATACATCTGTCTACTGTCCTAATACACCTGTCTGCTGTCCTAATACACCTGTCTGCTGTCCTAGTACACCTGTCTGCTGTCCTAATACATCTGTCTGCTGTCCTAATACATCTGTCTACTGTCCTAATACACCTGTCTGCTGTCCTAGTACACCTGTCTGCTGTCTTAGTACACCTGTCGTAATGGTGTCTGCTGTCCTAGTACACCTGTCTGCTGTCCTAGTACACCTGTCTGCTGTCCTAGTACACCTGTCTGCTGTCCTAATACACCTGTCTGCTGTCCTAATACACCTGTCTGCTGTCCTAGTACACCTGTCTGCTGTCCTAGTACACCTGTCTGCTGTCCTAGTACACCTGTCTGCTGTCTTAGTACACCTGTCTACTGTCCTAGTACACCTGTCTGCTGTCCTAGTACACCTGTCTGCTGTCTTAGTACACCTGTCTGCTGTCCTAGTACACCTGTCTGCTGTCCTAGTACACCTGTCTGCTGTCCTAATACACCTGTCTGCTGTCCTAATACACCTGTCTGCTGTCCTAGTACACCTGTCTGCTGTCCTAGTACACCTGTCTGCTGTCCTAGTACACCTGTCTGCTGTCTTAGTACACCTGTCTACTGTCCTAGTACACCTGTCTGCTGTCCTAGTACACCTGTCTGCTGACCTAATACACCTGTCTGCTGTCCTAGTACACCTGTCTGCTGTCCTAGTACACCTGTCTGCTGTCCTAGTACACCTGTCTGCTGTCCTAGTACACCTGTCTCCTGCCCTTGTGCACCTGCCATAATGGTGAAAAAAGTAGAACTTACACATAAAATATATAGGCTTACTTGAATCAGAGTCAGCCAACCGCCATCCCCAACCCCTTCTCCCCCCACCCCTCAAAATTTAAATGCCCCCCCCCCCCTCGGAGAAAAATATCTGAAAGAAACACTGCTGACTATCAATGTTGGCTTAATATTTGACGCATGTTTCTGGTCTACATGTAGAAACAAACGAATAATATCCATGTAAATTCAGACAGGGTTTAAAAATAGACTACAACTGGATGCATATTTTTTGCCTTATAGCTATGTCTGTGTAGGTGGCATAAACTGCCTACTTAGATATCAATGTGGATATGTTTTGACAGATTACAAAATTAACCCAGCTATAACAGCTTTTGTTTACATTAATTTTTTTTAAATATTACTTTTGTACTATCGTTTCAGACTTTTAATTAGAAGTTGCTCATAAATACACAAAGACATTGATTGACCTGAACACGTCATTATTAATTCACCTTTGACCTTCGGTGCAATATGGACGATTATAGCGGCTTAGCACTCCCATCTATTTACTAGATAGTGATCTCCCTTTCCACTATCACCTGCTTTACGTTTAGAGAGCTTGTTCCTTCTAAACCCCCCCCCCCCCCTCCCTTACCCTTTTCTCTCCCATATTACTGACCTTTTTTTTTTTTTTTTACTTAAAAAGGTGTTTTATCATTTTAATAACTTTTAAATAATTTTATTTTCTTTATTTTTAATACCCCGAGCTACAGTTCAATGTAAAATATAGAATCTATTCTACATGCTAGATCTAGCGTTTAAAAAAAAAAGCCCTGGATTAGTCTATCAAGAAAGCTAGGTGTTGACAAGATCGAGGCTAAACAGCAGCTGATCTATATGTAGAATAGATTAGATTATATATTTGAACATGTGTCCAACTGTTTCCGTAGTGTAGCGGTTATCACATCCGCCTAACACGCGGAAGGTCCTGGGTTCAAGCCCCAGCGGAAACACGTGATCTTTTTTTTTAAAATTTAACATATCGAAATTTTTTAGAATATTCTCATTTTAAAATGTGCTTATTCTAAAGTATTATTTCTACGTGATTATGATTAACTGATTTGTTAAATTGTAATTTTAAAAGAAATATGCCTATATTATAATCACTTTTTCATATCTGCACTGAAAGTTATTATGTGAAGATATAATAAATGGGTTTATATATATATATATATATATATATATATATATATATATATATATATATATATATATATATATATATATATACATATACATATAAATGCTTGTTTACAAACACATGTAGGTCTATATACGACTATATATGGATATAATAGTTTTAACACACACGACACAAAACCAATCAAGAAGGACCGTATAAAGGCAGAATGAAGTGGGTCACCATATTATATATTATATCATAGGCCTATATCCTCAACGACGGCCAAAAGTTGATACCTCCATCTCCAACCTGCCCACCCCCGATCGCACCCAACCAACCCACACTGAAGCAGATGAATGAGTTGGTACTTTACCGTGTCACTTGTATCAACGATTGATTACTCGAGTATATTTACTTTACACCGCGGAAAAACAATATCGCATTTCGGGTTATGCTGCGAACTTTGATTCAAACCAAACAAAACGACGACTAGCATATCCGCTTGTGGACATTGTAAGAGAACTTCCATTCAATTCAACCATGAGCATGCATGTGGGATGGTGGTATTTTTTACACAGGGGTATTTTTTTAAGGAAACACCGCCCTCTTAAACTCATAGCTAGCTAGGCCTAAGTTTGTATCGTCGTATGCCTATTCTAATAAGCAACTGATGTTTACTTAAAGGTAGTTTCAAAATACGGGCCTATCCCCTTGGTATTAAGACATCCAGTGTTTTTTTTCCAATGCACGTCTACCACCCCCAATCCAAATGAAATAGAATTTATAGAGAAAATATCTACTTTTATCCGTGTCTTGACACCCCCCCCCCCCCAAAGTTTCAAGTGCCTCTCCCCCCCCCACCCCCCCCCCCCCCCCCCCCCGGAGAAAAAAAACCACTGAAACACTGGAGACATCCATTCTTGGCGTTGCACTGAGATGCTTGGCCGATTTTCAAAAAAAAAAAAAAGGGGGGGGGGCGGGTTCTATGACGTCAATTTTTATTGTGCCCCCTTCACAGCACATCATTCTCAAAAGTCTCCTCAATGTGACGTCATGTTTATGACCTTGGAGTGTCATCATTTTTCCTTTTCGTACCTTGCGGAGAATAACTATAAGGCCTCTGTCAAAACTTTCTACCCCACTCTTCCTCCTGCCACTCATTTCAGCTGTTCCAAACTCCTCCCTATCTTTTCGGCCTCCTCCAACAAGCTATGTCGCCATGCCTTCCTGGCAATGTTTCTTTTACACTTTTTTCTCCGTGGTGGTGGAGGGGGGGGGGGCAGACTAAATTTTCCCGAGAGGGGTCCGGAAGAAACTCTGCTTCCTGGATCGACCCCCGCGTCGTATAAAAAATATAAAAGACCCTTTAGCGATTATTACCAACTAGACCAGGGGTTCCCAACCCTGTGCCCGCGGGCGCCATGGCGCCCGCCGAACGATTCGTATGTGCCCACCTCTGACTATTCGACAGAGACAGATTTTTTTTCATAAACATTATTGAAAGGTTGAAGGGGGATAAAAATTGAAAGTTTGAGGGGGGGGGGGGGTGCAAATCGAAAGTTTTGTCCTCGGACGCCGGGAAGGGTCGCTACTTCTCTGGAAGGAGTTTGTCGATTTAAAATAGGTGGTGCCCGCCTCACTACCGATATTTTAGAATGTGCTATAGAGTAAAAAAAGGTTGGGAACCCCTGAACTAGACCAACCAACCCATCAACAACAACAAAAAAAATCTAGATATTGTAAATTGTACACGCCCCACGACTCAGCATCCGACAACCAAATTTTTGTCTAACAATCCTTATAAAGGTTGGGTAAAATTGCAAGAACTTAAAGACCCTGGCCAACTTCTTGATCTGACTGTTTGCTTTTCAAACCCATGTTGCCAGGTAGAACTATCGTATGCCAATTTCTACAATAGCAGCTATCTGTCTCTTTTGTTTTTAAAAGCACATCACGGGAATAAAATTATTTAACTAGCTCTAAAATCGCTGCATGTTTATTTTTTGTTAGGTTACTGAAGGAAATATTAACAGTGTGTGTGTTTAAAAAATCATAATCTCTTTTACCACCTGCTCACTGATTTCAATGACAAAATTATCTCCCCTTTTACTGAAACAATATCAATCATTTCAATGGCAAAATTATGTCCCTTTTTACTGAAACAATATCAATAATTTCAATGGCAAAATTATGTCATTTTCTATTACAACTTAATATCACAGATGTATTTTACTTTCTTTTAACAGGGAACCATGTTTATCCCGTTGCATTAAAGCACAACAAATAAGAATACGCGTCCACTTTTTTAAAACACAGGGCTATATTCCCAAAGGGATGATTTTCACATTGCTAATACCAGTAAAAAATTATATATTTATAATATTGTTTTAACAATATGACGAAGCTTTATTTTGAATACTAATATCCCATAACTGTGGAAGTAATTTTTCAGATCAAAACATGTTATGTACTTGTGGTCGTACATAACTTTTGAATTCACAAGTGCTGTCTATTTATTATAGGCCTAATTAGTCCAGTGATTCTAACCACATACCCTAAACATGCTTTGAAACTGAACTATTAATTAAAACTAAGAGCCAAAAAGACTTGAAAAAAATAGATTAAACATGACACTCATCGCCAACCATTTTATTTAATCTATTTGTAAAAATGTATTTCATTACATTGCAAATCAAGTCACTTGAATCAGTCAGTCAACACAACGCCATCAATCAAATAAAAATTAAAACCAGACCAGCGGCTGCACGTGAGACAATTATAAACTAGAACAAAAAATAATTTAATTGGGTGCAGGATAAGAACAGATAAACCATTAAAAAATGGGGAGACAAATATAAACTAAACTAGAGAATTTTGTGATTTTCTAGGTAAAAGAAGAAAACAAAATTAATAAAACAGCTAAACTAAAAGAAAAATAAGTTAATTAACAAAGAAAATAGTAAACTAATTAAGAGGCCAAGTGGAGGTAACATATTTAAGGAAGAGATAAAGAAAAATAATTATTCAATTAAGAGGTAAGCATAAAATACAAACCTTGCTGAATAAAGGTTGCTTCTACAAAAACTGGATTTATTAAATTTGTTACAAAAAAACACCACACTGAAGCTAAAATGCCATTGCAGGAAATTTAAGCAGCAGCTATGTATAAAAGTAAAAAAAAGTCGTTCATTGACTAATGAAATCTCACTTTAGTCCTAGCCCATCGGAACAAAGAAATGACAACACCCTACAAACACTCAAACCGCTTTTAATTTAAAGGAAATTTTACAAAACCATTTGATGAACTCATTTAAAGTGTTAACAGCAAACAATAGCACTACTAATACTGAAACTATTAAATAACTTTCTAATGTTGAAAAAACAAAGACTAGATCAACAAATTTATATGTTAGCTAAAAATACCAAAATTTTTCTCAGCTGTATGTTGCCTTTTAACTATTTTTTAAAGTGTTTACATCTACTAATTTTCTGTTGTGTATTGAGCTTGTCCGTTTTTTTTGTGTGCTTTTTTTTGGAGAGAATAATTGTTTTGAGCGAGAAATTGGCATTGAAAAACCCGAATCTATAAGTACATTTCTGACCTTGAAAGAGAATGTTATTGTAAACTATTTACTTAAAATATTTTTTTTTAAACCAAGTTATAACAGCATACATAGATTTTGATAAATATATTAGCAAAAATGTTACAAGGCAAGTACAATGTATTCCGATGGTCTGAAAAATTGATCTCTCTAATCTAAAATATATATTTATAAATTTAAAACAAAATTTAAAGGGACACAAATTTTGTTGAAAAAACTCCTCACAGCAATTTGCAGAAATGAATAAACCATATCTATCACAACCTTTATAGTTTTTAAAATTTGATTTACCTTGATAGTAAATCTATATCAAGTATTATCTATCAACGGTAGTCCCTTTATTTTCTCTTTCTAATCTACTTTATTATTATCTGTACAGTTTGAAAGGAATACAACCAGAAAATCTGCAAAAACTACAGGAAAAAAATTACTTGAAGAAAGAGTAAAATAAAAACAATGTTTTCACAAACACAATATGTAACTTAAATATTCATTATATACCCATGCGCGCAAATAACTTAATTTTTTTTCTCCACCAGATAGTGTAGGATTTTAAAAATAAAACTTGCGAAGCTAACAAATAAATGGAAGATTTGAATCAACTGCTCTGAATTAATGAGTTAAAAATGCTTCAACAATTTCACCTTTCTTGATTTATTAAGCCAATCCCACATTTTAAAAATTAATTTTTAAAAAGTATTAATTAAAAAATTATAATTAAATTAAGAATTGGAAAAAAAATTACCTCTCAAATTATGTAATAATTACATTATTTTTTCAATGTTAGACAATAAAATTTTATTAGTAAAAAATTAAAATACCCAAACAATTAATTAAAAATCATAACGATACACTTTCTGTAAGTAAACTAAAACAGAACAATACATTACAGTTCAAAGCATGGGGGTATTAATTAGTTAACATGAGTTCTGTAACTTATATTTCTCAAACAGAATATCACACAAATTAAAATAAATGTATGGACTTCAAATTTTTTTGACCATCCAAATAGTTAAAAATCTATTTAAAAGCATTGGAAGTAATTTATTCATAATTTTTACACTTCTGAAAAATCAAAAAAGAAATATAGAAAAAAAAGGTTTTCAGATGTTATAGTTTGAACCATGTTCAAAAGGAGGCTGTGGATCTATTAAATGCAGTTAAAACAAAATTGGTGGATTTAGCTTTTTATATTTAAATAAAAATTTGGCATAACTAAATTCCAAACTTATTATTATTATTTTTTTTTTTTTAACTTTTGGTTGAAATTTAATTTAATGACATCACGGGAACGTTTTTAATTAAACTATTTATTTAAACAATTTCTTTCAAACATGGTCACTTAAAATTTTGTGATGTGACTTAATTATACTTTAGTGTAATTATGTATTTTTTGAAAGCACACTTAATTAATATCAATTAAATGTAATGGAAGTGTAAGCATAGGAAAAGAGATTGCATTTAAAAAATAGTGATTTTGCGTTACATGAAAAAATTCTAAAATAAAGTGCCACAGTATTGAATAGAACATGACAACACCTTGCAAACTATTTTAGCACGGAACTGTGAAAAAACATCTGAGTTAATAAATGTCCATGGCTGAGAGGTATGAGAGTTGCAAATGAATGCTGAGGATGACAACACACTGTTGTAATTAAAACAAATTCTCATAAAGTCCTACACTCAAGTTCAGAAAACAAATGTCCTATATAGTTCTACACTCCTGTACCACATTAGTAAACAATGTCCTATATAGTTCTACATTCCAGCACATTTACAGAAAACAATGTATTCTTACACTTGCCTTACCAGAAACCACATTGTCAGAAACAAGGTCCTATATAGTCATACAATCCAACTCCATATCAGAAACCAATGTCCTTTATCCTGCACATCTGTACCACAAAAGAAAACAAGGTCCTATGTACAGTACAATCCAACTCCATATCAGAAAACAATGTCCTATATAGTCCTACAATCCAATTCCATATAAGAATACAATGTCCTTTAGTCCTACACTTCAGTGCCACATCAGAAAACAATGTCCTATATAGTCCTACAATCCAATTCCAAGTAAGAAAACAATGTCCTTTAGTCCTACACTTCTGTACCACATCAGAAAGTTTCATGCCCTTAAGCAACTGTCTGCTGCTCAACTTCAGAAATAATGTCCAAAACATTTCTTTATTTAACACATTAGTCAACATTTTTTCTATCTTTGACCCTCCAAATGTTTTGTTATGACACTGAAGGTGGTGCCGACTGCCAACACATAGGGAGCCTAAAAGGCTTTCATGTGGCGTACATGCAGCGTTTTTTGTCTGTTACAGTTGTAAACTGTCTTCTGGTGTAAGAAATATGATAGACTTAGTCTGTGACTCTAGTCAAATCATTCTCACCAGTTTGTCAAAGATATACGTCGTCAACTTATTTTTACAGCACTTCAGCATTAAATCTACAACACTACTTGAAACACGACATTCAGAGATTGCTGAGGATATCTCACTCCTTTTATGGGATTAAGCTATGCAACAAGCTGGCTGCTATCTTGACAATCAATTACAGTTTTTAAACATTTTTTTTTTAATAGCACAAGAGAAGAAAACTTTTCAGCTGTAAGGCATAGCTAAAGGCTAGCATGCAAGGATCGGTCTGGGTGGTGGCGAGTCGCCTCAACCACCAGCTCAACTCGGGGGGGAGAGGACGTTCTCCAGAAATCAGGCGTGGACGAGACTGGACCCGGTCAGTGTTGAAGATCATCATGTTATCTTGCTCCAGCGCTTGAAGTTGGGCACGTCTTTGACAGGTATGTTACAGGTGTGTGCCTTCAGACGCAGGTTTCTGTCGTCAGTCAGCAGCACGACTTCCCTGTACAGGCGTACCGGATGATCTGCAACATCCAAGCAGAATTCATTTCAATTGTTAGCGTACAAATCTAAGCATTATAAGCTATTAGAACAAAGTGCTATGCTATTTTCAATGTTAACAAAGACAACAAGTGTGGATAGTTATCCTACCAGTGTTATAAACATACATGTATTACAGAAATGTTTAGTATTTAATAGAGAGGTAAGTTTGATGTGATTTTAAATGCTAAATTAAATTACCACACTGTGTTTTTTTAAATATTCTATAGGTGCATGCTTCTAAAGGATCTAATATTCATTCTTTTGAATCTTATTTCTAAGATGGGATGGTGTGGCCTAGCAGTAGAGAGCTAGACTGCTAACACAAAAGTCTCGAGTTCAAATCCGGGTTAAAGTAAAGTCATTTAGGCTTAGTGCTGACCATGCTATCCCGGCTGAGGTCAGGAAACATGAACCTCTTTTTCATCTGCCCAACAGATCATTAGATCTAAAGAGGAATATTTACAATTTCTAAGAGAAAAAAGTCAACTGATATCATGCGCTAATTTAACATTTCCATCTCTGGTATCAGCTTTGTATAACAGAGCAATGATCAAGACCATGTTTTTTTACCTTTGTCTTTGGGCATGAACTCTCTGGCCATATCTTTACAGTAGTGCAGGCAACAGTTGAGTATGATGTCATCATTGATACCCTGCAACAGCAGAAAGACATTTTTTTTAAACAAGATGTTCATGCTCAGCTTAATCACGGAAATATTGTAGGTGAACTTTATTTAAGAAGTTTCAGGACAAAGACATTCATGATGAAACAATGTTACACTGACATTTTGAGAGGCTTCACAATTAAAAATTTCTATTGGATAACTAGGTTAAAAAAAAGATAAAAATTAACGAACTCAACAAAAATTAAATAAATAAATTTAAGAACAAAACAAAAAACAACAAATTTCTCAATAATAAGCTGAGTTAACAGAATAAACTAAAGTGACAAAGAAATCAATAAAATTACAAACCGTGCCATCAGATTCCTCACTACGAAATGATATTGTTTCCAAAATTGATCCCTTGGCTGTTTGTGCCCTCAGATTAGGATTTTTCACCTCAAACTCGGCTTCTAAAAACTCAACAGCAGCTACAGCCTGTGTCTTGACCATCCTGGCGTGATCAGGGCTGTCGTACTGCTTGTCCCTGGCCCCTTTGGCCAAGCCATCCAGTTCATTTATTACTGAAATAATGTTACACATTAGTTGTAAAGAAACAATTAGTGTAGATATAGTGTACATATACTTTTCATAATAACAAACATGAAGACGTAGTTTCAATTTAATGTTTTTAAAAAAAATTTCTTACTGTTTGCTTTTCAAGTTATATTTTCTGGTAAATAAAATTGTAAAAATTATATTACCAACAAGGGGCACAACCAATGTGTATTTTTTTGTAAGTAGAATCTTCTTGAGGGTAGAGAAGTGGTCAATGAAGCAGTTGGTGTCAGGGATGAGGAATATAGGACAGATCTCCAGTTCTATCTTGGTGTGTCTGTGACTGTCTAAGATGGCCTGAATAAAAAATATATATTTTATGATGAGAACAGACGAAACAAAATGTTTTTACATAATACTTGCATGATGAGAGTGAAGGTTAAAAATTATAGAAAATTAACACAAAAAAACTCTTAAGTTCTTTTCTCTCAAATAACCATGCTAAGGTATGAAAAAAAGAGCAATTAAATGATTATGGCCATGTTGCCAGGGGAAATCAATTCTCCCATCAAAGATATTTTGTTGTCAAAAAGTATGTTAACTAATTTCAACCAGCTACACTTCTAAGAAAATCTCAAATTGATTGTCAATATCAACAGATATTTGAAATATACTTTTGCCTTTTTGAACAAAAAATAAATATAGGATGTATAATTTTTTCAGGCTGTATGAAATAGTATAGAATAATGAAGGTAAATGTTACAATTTCATTTTATATATTAATAGAACTGACCTCCATATTTTCTTTATTTTTCTCCATCTCTTCCCTCTGCCTGTTCAGCTCTGCTTTCTTAGCTTTCAACATCTCAATGTCATCCTTAGTGTCTTTGCTAATTTCAACATCAGAGTCCCCGTGCTCAATGATAACATCATCAGACTAGCAAGTCACAAAGAAAAAAAAACAGTCAAAATTTGTTATAGCAAATAGTATAAACATGGTTCTTAACCTTTAAAAAAAAAGATTTTGTTTGTCACAGGATATAGATTATACATTTTTAAATTAAGCAATTTAGGTTTAAGTAATTTGATAAAACATTTTAAGACGTTAATTATCATTAGAATCATGGTGGGAGGAAGGAAGGGCAATTGGAACTTAATGAAAGGAGGGGGAGGAAAACAAATGAGCTAAAATACACTAATCCCACCCTTTAGTAACAAAATGAAACAGTCAAGTGAACCAATGAGATTCTTACATCATCTGCTGAGTCCAATCCAGATTTGTCCTCACCCACAAGTTTTTCTTCAGATCGGGTTGGAGACGGAGCCACAGAATAGTATTTTCCACTCTCCACATTAAACGCCAACATGGGGGGCTCAACTCCACACAAGTACTCTCCAAAGAGCCGCAGTTTTTCAATCCTCAACCAGTCCTCTGCCTGGGCTTTGTCGACTTTAGAATCCACGTAGAAAATTTCCTGTGGTGCACTCAACATGGGAACAAAGCCAGCCAACATCATGTCCTCGTGCAAGATAACTGGCTCAAAACCTGAACAGTAAACAAACTATGCAGTAAACAGTGTAACAAACAAACAGAATTATAAACTGACTAGTTGATTACACTTTATCTCAAGATATTTCCTACTTGTGCACGCCTTATAATTTATATTAATATACATTGATATGATTAGCAAAGCTGTAGTCACACAAAATTAAAATACTACATAATAGCATAATATAACTATCTAAAAAGAAACAAGTCTCTGTGACACTAATATATTAATTTCTGAAATCATGTCAAGTGCACCCAAGGTCTAATTTAATTATTTTTTTAAATGATAATGACTGAAAATGCTTTAGCCCTACCTTCCTGAGGCTCTCTAATCAAACAACCCTGCTTGGTTTCAACTTCATTCAAGAGATCACAGAATGTCGCCAGATTTTTCCATACATCAATTTGTGGACTAAATAAAATTTAAAAACAAATACTAGTAAATTTCACACAATAATATTACTATTACTTTATGAAATTATTGATCCTAAATAAAATGCTGTAGATTCTTTTTTTAAGTATGCTATATGATGTAAGATTTAAATAAATTTTGCTAACTTTTTAAATAAAGAACCCCTACAGACATTCTTAAAACTGTGTCTACATTCTATAAACCAACAAAAACAATTAGTAAATGTTAGTAACACTAACCCCAGATCAGGTGGCCTGTTCAAGGGCTGGGGGTTCCATAAATAAGGATGGCACATCATCCAGTCTACCCAAGTCTTGAGGGCAGGTAGCATCAGATGGAGGTCCTCACCCAAGGAAAGACAACTTTCAGCCCTGCTCACATTTGATGGTAGAGGATCTTCATTTGTGGCATCACCTGGGGTACAAAATATAAGAGTTACCTCAACATACAGAAACCAGTTGTACACATTAAAACATTCACTAGAAATAATAATACATTCAGAATAAATAGAAAGATATATATCAATGTAAGGGACTTGACCTGTTGTCCCACTATTGTAAGAGACATATTTAAAAGTGCCTTTGTCCCAATAGTGTAAAAGATCTTAGTGATAAACCTATTGTCCCAGTATTGTAATAGACCTATCGTCCCACTATTGTAATAGAGCTATTGTTCCACTATTGTAATAAACCTATTGTCCCAGTATTATAATAGACCTATTGTCCCAGTATTATAATAGACCTATTGTCCCACTATTATAATAGACCTATTGTCCCACTATTGTAAAAGACCTATTGTCCCACTATTGTAAAATACCTATTTGCCCACTATTGTAATAGACCTATTGTCTCACTATTGTAAAAGACCTGTTGTCCCACTATTGCCCCATATCAAATCTCTTACTTTTACGGTGATCCTCTTTAGCTAGACTGCTCTTGTGTTTCTCCTGAGCTTCAACCTGCGCCTCCAGCAGTTCACAACTTCTCTTGACCAGCAGACCAAACATCTCCAGGGCTATCTCCACCGCATGTTCTTGTAACACTGACCGGCAGTTCTCTTCTAGGGACTCATCTATAAATAGTACAACTCTAGGTCACTTTTGGTGTGCTGATGTATTGCATTACACATTTAAAGAGTGAAAAAATTTAATTTTAAAAATTAAAGCAATGGCATTAAGTAATTATATATATATATATATATATATATATATATATATATATATATATATATATATATATATATTTAAATTAAAATTAATGAATATTGAATGTAGATTATATATTTAGAATTTTTTACCCTAAGGATATGAATATTTAACTAGTAGGAGGAATTGATAGACATTATAAGGTCAGTGTTTACTCTCTTGTGTTAAGGTTAGATAACTCAGGGCAACCAAGCTTAGACAACTCAGTGCAACCACATTCAGGTTAAATGAAGCTAATGAACCAGGTAGGCTACTTTGTAATGATGGACTATGGTAAAGTTTACTTTTCAAATTTGGGACATGGGGCAAGCGAAGTAGAGATCACCGGTTTCTGTGACTTCGACATATGAAGGAATAGTGAGGTCAGCTTCCTATACTTTCCCTAACGTGAGTTAGGTACCCCTTTATTTTCTCTAGGTACCCATCAGTGCTGAGTGGACTAAGGGATGTTCTACTGACTTGAAACAGAACTCCAACTTTCAAGTTAACAGTCTATCGCTATACCGCTAAGCTACTCTGTCAAGAGTACAAGATTTGTGTTATAAAGAGGAAAGTGACCTTTAAGGGCAGTGTTGTCCACTGAGAACATGTTGATGACCATGAGCTGGAGGAACCTGGTGCTGCTGAAGACACAAGGGGAGTGCTGGATCAGGGTCTGGAACTCTTGGAGCATCAAGCTTGAACTTTCTGCAAACACTTCAAAGCTGTGGACATGATAAGAAAATATGAGTTTTTGTGTACAGTTCTGAGTTCAGGCGTTCTTAAAAAAAAAAATTAAATCTTCACTCATTAAAAATTAAAGGAGATTCTGAGTTAAGGCATTTTTTTAAAAAAACATTATCTTCACTCATATAAAAAAGGAGGCCCAATCTATTAAACTAGTGATTAATTTTGTTTAACTAAACTGGTCCTTAACTGACAAAAGTTACAATAGTTTTACATAATACCAGACCATTAGTTTATTGAAGGTCTTCAAGTGAATACAAATTGTACAATGAAAAGAACAAAATATAACTGTACAAATGGCTCTCAACTTCAATCAAAAAACAATTTGTAGTGGATACTGACATAAATACTACTTATAAAAGAACACTTACTTTATTTTAGTAAAAAGTTTTCCATGAACATTGAGATAGGTCAGCACAAATCTTTTATTTAGCTGCAAGCGAAAAGTTGTTGAACTTTATAGCAAAACTGTGACAAGCTTAGGATAAACATTAAAATATTTAGCTTACTGCACATGTATGAGCAGAATTCAAATTTTAGAAGGCTGTTCTTAAGTGCCATTGAATAAGTATGATGGTATACACAAGCATATAGGAAGGCTATGTGAATTTTAATAATCTATTTTACTTATTATTTTTCTACCCCTCACCTCAATAGCAGACAGAGAGCTGAGGTCATCCTCATACTCTGCCTCATCCACTCTGTCTTGCGTACTTGTCCCATCTGGTAAAACCCAGATCTCCACTCTTGGACCCCGACCGTGATGCTTGCGTCTCAAGGCCATTCTGTTTTTCCGTTCTTCAAACCTTTTCTTCTCTACAGCATCAACCTTAAGACCCACAGATGCATAACAAATGTGCATTATATATATATATATATATATATATATATATATATATATATATATATATATATATATATATATATACACACATATATATATATGTGTATATGTATATATATATATATATATATATATATATATATATATATACACATATATATATATATGTGTATATGTATATATAATGTATATAAATAAATATAAATACTATAAATACTATTCAATATTTGGTTTGAAAAATTATTCAACCTGATGTTATATATATAACATATGAGATTAACTTATTTTATCAAAAATTTCAAAAAGTTGATTTGCTTTTAAGCCATTTAAATTGATTATTTCCAATTAAAATTAGGGGGGGGGGGAAATATGCAACTCACCTTTCTTCTGACCTCATCAAACAAGGACATGAGGGACTCTCTGGCTGTAAGTATAGGGTTGCTGGCTGCTAGGCTCCTCATGTAGTAGTACACAGCATCCAATTTCCTTCGCTATCAAGTGTGTAAAACATTTTAAACAATCATCCATATGTCATTACTTTTTTTTTATCCATTATTAGTTTGTCTAATTATTGATAATGTTTTGTAACATAATTTTAAAATTCAATTGAAAAAAAAAATATAACTGGATAAATGTATGGAAATAAAAATGTGAATGACTGTACCGTGTACACCGCTAAGATAGCTAGCTGATTGTATGGTCGCCCATTACGTGGGTGAATTCTTTGTGCTTTCAGATACCAACTGAAAAAAAATAAAACATACATACAGATAATTTTGTAATGAACAGTATGATTTATTAAACAAGCATATCTGAAATATTTGACATAGTCAATACATCTTATAACCACATAGTCATTTTTGAGTAATTATTACAAATGGAAGATGGGAACAACTAGACTTACTGCCTAGCTTTGCCATAGTTGGTGGTGTCTGATGCTTGTTCCTTGTATCTGGCAATGTCTCCTAGAAACATCATAACTCTCTGTGCACTCAAGAGGGCAAGTTTTACATTCCTACCCACCACTTCAGGCATTGGACGATTGCCATCAGAGAATGCTTCGAGATCAAATTCATAGGTAGATTGCAGCTTTTTCAATAAATTTTCAAAGAACCGAGCTCCCTAATTTTAAAAAAATTTCAGCAATTTTAGCTCACGTAATTTAAAAAAATACACATATAAAGTAATACAAAATATAAGTATAAGCTAAAAAAGTACAACTTTGCATTTAAATGAAATAAAAGTACAATTTCAAATTTTAATGGAAGAAAATAAAATAAAATAATAATAAGTAAACATGTTTATGTGATGCCAACATAGTCTAGATGCTTGTAAAGTAATTACGCCATTATTTTTTTTACCTCATCCAGGACATCCATCAACCTTTGTTTAGATGATACATCTTGGCTCTCCTCTCCAATTCTTTTACGGTATGCTTCAATGACCTGGTAGTAAACAGATTTCCACAACAGCTGTTCCACATTGTGCTTGTTAGCAACTTCCACATCAGAGATGATCACTTGCTCTAACCGGTTTTGAAGTTCAGCCCTGGAAACAAGTAAAGGTCAAGGCTATTGCCAGTTGTATCAAATATTAGATCTGGTTTGAGATGGGCCAATGAGCGCCTGAGTCTGCATTACTCAGACTTACAATTGCATAATTATTTAATTTGGCTACCCTAGCTAAAAAATTTCCTCTGACAGAGAGATGTGCTTAAGTCAATCAATATCAGCACAAACACAGAAACACCTTCAATGTGTGGTGTTCCACTTACCTTATTTGATTAACCATTCTAAAACTGTCCTCTGAGTTGGGCCTTCTAGACAAAATATTTCCTAACTGGCTGTCAAATGGAAGGGAGTCTCTTAAAATTTGTTCCGCCATCATGCGATACTGTGAGCGTGAAGCAGCTGGGTCAATGTCGGAGCTATGAAGACAGATAGAATATAAAATAATAGGTAAACAATATAAAAACTAATAAAACGGCTAATATCTGTTTTACTGAAGGCATACTTTTTAAAATAAAAAATACTATTACAATCAAACAGAACGTTTAAGAATGATTTATTAAATTGTTATTAAAAAAAAATACCTATTGTAAAATGACAAATCAGGTTGTGGCATTCTGGGATACCTGAAGAACATATGTGGAGGCATGGTTCCAGGAAACCCAGCCATAAATGGGGTTGTGAATGGCGGCATAGGTGGCCTGAACCTGTACATGGGATGGAAGTCAGGAGGGTAGAACATAGCTGGGTACTGGTGGGTCTGGGGGCTGTCTGGTGAGGATGACGTTAAACCAGATCCAGGGCTGGGGGAGAGTTTCTTTTCACCATCGTCTGATCTCAGGGGAGGGGTTGCGTCGGGTATGATGATGGGTTTGGTTGGATTTTTAGGATCAAACAGGTGACGTTTGCCTTGAGGTGGGCCGCGGGTATTTGAGCCTTGTGCTGCGCTCCCACTGTTGTGGTGACTGTCAGTGTAGAAATGATGGGCATGATCTGCGTGAATGGCTGGACTCGGGTTGCTATGGGGACGGGGAGGTTCTTGTTGTTGACTAGGAAGTCTAAGCAAACCTCCACCTTTTGCTCTCTGGGACAGGGACAGATCATCATGGTTCAATGACCCGGCCCTTTCGATTGGCCGCCGATAACTGACTGCATCCTCTTTATCATCTCTCCTCCATCCTTTGCCTTGTCTGTTCCGACCTTGACCTTTATTACGAGTACCGCTGGCGTCATGAGCTGGATGAATTGCTCTCTGATCCCCAGGGTAGGCCCTTCTTTCGAATTCTTGACTCTTGATCATTCCATCGTGCTCATCAGATCTATGTTCATCATGTGGGTGCTGGTTGTTTTCTTCCCTTGAACCTCCACGTTTCCCCTTCCCACTTTCTTTTCTAAACCTGGGCGGGGCCTCTTTCTCTCTCCTATGTGGGTTGTGCCTCTCCTCTTTCTTGTACTCCCCATCCTCAGCGTAATTGTAGCTCCTACCCCAATCCTCCTCTCCTTCCTCCATGTCGTAGTCTTTGATGTGATGTGGATCCCACTTATCATCACTCCTGTGCCTCTGCCTGCCTGCGCCATTACCTCCCCTGCTGATTTCAACATGTCTATTGTTGTCACCAATGGTAACCTGTAGACCAGACCTGTTGCCCCTCCCTACATCACCTGCGTTATCTCCATAACGCCTGTCGTCATGAGACTTCTGATGCGACCTTTGAGACTGGTGATGATGTTCATAACTACCCTGTGAACCCTGAGAATTCAGACGTCCACGCCTACGCCTGTGACCCCGTTCACTGAAGCCATCTTCTCCATGAATACTGCTATGCACAGATGAGTCACGACTGCCTTGTTTCGAAGAATTTTTTCTATGCCTATGTCGCCTATGCCTTGTTCTACCCCCCTCTTTTAATTTTCCACGGAAAATCTCATCCGCAGACACAGATTTCTGCCGATCGAGTGTGGAACTTGATTCAGTTTTCTTTGCAGCTTCCGGAGTCCCTACAGCAGGTCCAAATCCGGGGTAGGCGTCTAAGCTACTGGTCAGCTTTCTAGCACCGTCATGCACTATGCGAGCCAGCTCTTCCAGGTGGGCCTTCTCTACCTCCTCCCCCCAGTTCAGAATGTGCTCTGGCTCATCGTCCTCTGTGAAGTCACTGCTCCCACTGTAAAAGGATCCGTTGCTAGGGTTGCTCGCAACACTTGCCTCACTGCTTATACTGCCAGTTCTCTGCCTTCTCATACCCCAGTAGAACTTCTCACCTTCCCTAACACTTTTCCCTGCTCCATATCCTTCCTTATTGCTGTTTTCTCTTCCGTTCCCTTTAGTTCCTTTCCCTCGCTGACCTTTAACACGAGGAAATGTTTCACTAGAAAACTGAGAATTCTCCGACTGGCCACGTTTAGGGTCAATTTGATCATTATCTTTAAGCCTTGAATCACTTGAGTTTGATCTTCTATTTTTGGAATAAGATTTTACAGGTTTATCAATTTTATCTGGAACCTGTTTTCTTATGTCTTGACTTGCTTGGATTTCACTCCCTGCTGTGTCTGGCCTTCCTTTACCACGCCTGCTGTTTTCAAACTGTCGGAAATTCTTTTCTCCTCCCCCTCGTGGCTGATTTTTATTTTTCGACTCCAAATCTTTATTTTTCGAATCGATATCTTTGTTTCTTGTCTGTTTATCAGCTGCTGTGGGTTCCTTGGGTTTCTGAGATTTCTGGTTTTGGTTGTTTCTTGCAGGGTGTGTCCCTAAATCTTTCCGGGAAATGTTAGGTGAGCTGTCAGTGACTGTCTGTGTAGTGATGGATTCATTCACAACAGTCACTTTCATGGCGCCACCTTTGTTTTTCACTTGAACTTTACGCAGGTTTTCTGCTGCATCTGCTACAACAACCTCGTCAGCATTTTCAGAGCTTTTCTTCTCATCCACCTTTTCTTTGACATCTTCACTTTTAGACGATGGACTTCTTTCACTGCCATCGTCTCTTTCTTCACTTTTTCTTTCTTTGTCTCCAAGCCTTGCTCTAGGCACATATATCTGTATATCAGGTCTTTTCCCCCTGCGTTTTCCATACCCCTTATCTCTCCAGTTTTTTTCTGAAGTGGCATATTCTTCATCCAAATCTTGACCAGGTATCAGATCAGCTGTTTCTTGCTTACTATTGGCTTGGGTCTCCCTAGGAGGGGATTCGATATAGAGATCATCCAAACGTTGGTTGATGTCCCTTTCATTAACATCACCACTGCTTTCTCTGCTGGCTTTGCTGACATCTTCATCAGTTGAATTCACTTTTAAGTCAACACTGTCCCAGGATTCCTCCTCCAAATTAGATGGTGACACTAAATCTTCATCTTTATCCCCAGTTTTGTCGCCATTTTTATGTTCTTTACTTTGACGAAGCTGACCTGGACGGTATATTTGCTGCTCAGGTCGTCTTGCCTTCTGTTGTTTATTGTAATAGCTTTGCTTCCTGTCATTTTTTCTTTTAGATTCAGGAGTTCCTGGGAATGACAAAACAATTCTTAAAAGATTAACAAAAACTAAATAATAAACCATTTTCAAATCTGTTCTAAATCTGCAAGTTAACATTTGGCTTAATTCATCTATTTCTATAACTCTTGATATAAAACCTAGTTGCTCCATTTTTGGGCTTAAGTTACTAATTTATAACAATGTACAAAATTTAATGATATAGAAATGTAAAAGTCATGAATGATTTAATTATTTATATAGTTTTGAAATTACACTTACAAAATTCATCCAATAATTTTTCGGTTAATTTTGACATGGAAACTCGCAAATAAAGATATTTTTGTAAAGCTGAGTTACTGTAGACCTAATTAGTAGGACCTACCACTTGCATATATTTTTAAAATAATTTTTTTTTTCCACTTCTGCCTTAACAGCTATTTTTTGTAGTTATATTTAGTATTAATTATGATTTTTTTTGTTTAGCAGCTTACTTATTTATAGAGCTTAATCACTTAACTCACTAAAGTTGAATCAAAGAGTTGTCTTGATGGGACAGGAATTAACATGATAAATACTTAAATAGTAAATTTAAATAGGCTATTAAAATAGGTTTTAAAAAATATTTTATACTTATAAACTAGAACTCTTTACTAGACATAATATACTATACTATGAACCCTCAACCTCTGACGACCACTCAAAGCTAGACTGCCCGACCACATTGTACAGATAGTTTTGTCAGAAGAATAAGGCTTAAAGGGTAATTTGATCACATTGTGCAGCTATAAAAGGATAATTTGAGCCCATTGCAAGGCTATTAATAGTATTTAATTTGAGCCCATTGCACAGCTATTAAGGTCATTGCATTTGGCATCTTCTGCTGGCCAGACTAGGGGAGGGGAAGGGAAGAAGCGGTGTATAAAGTAGTCCAAGGCTAGTAATGTGCAAAAAAGTTGCCTCATTGTTAAGGCTTTAATATCAGTATATTGTGATATATTTGTGACAAATATTTTAGATAACTGAATAATAAACCAAAATCAATGGCTAAATATATCAATATAGGCCAGAAATTAACTTTAAACAGCAAGATTTGCTATATAAACAGTGGCCATCTGTAAGTTAGAGTATTTGCCCTGAATCTTTAACCAAATTTTCCCAAAAAACGTAAACAAGATGGCTAATTAAGTAAATGAGCTTCGTTGCATCTGATAAAACATCGCTAGTCTATATTTTTTACTTAAAAGTTTTAATACAATTGTTTAAAAACAGGTACATTAATGAAACATTTTTGTAACTTTCAAAACATAAATCCTCCTAAAAATGTGAAATAATTACAAAAATCAGGGTTCCTACACCAAAGTCAATTTCAAATTCCAGGAGAATTCCAGGAGTTTTCCAGGAGGAATCAAAAAATTCCAGGACATATAATAATGCATAAAACTATGTAAATTTTTTTTTATAAAATAATAATAATTTATTACAAACTAAAAATATTCAGCGTACTCACCAAATTAAGACAGGAAATACTTGAGAGCTTTTATGCACTGATTTATATACATTTATTTATAGAGTTATTTACATATATACAGACTGAATGTTTGCACATTACAAGCTGCCAATTTCTATCACTTTAGATTGTATTTCTAAAGTAATAGCTGCCAGTTGCTCATTCTTGCTTTTGGCAGCCCGACGCATGGCGTTAGACTCAATAAGAAACTTGTGGCTGTTTGTATTTTCAGCCTTTTCAGCCAATTTATCAGCAGATTCAGTCATGTCTTTCTCCAACCTGGCTTTTTTTGTCTTCAACCCATCCAGCTCCTGTTGGCTGTCATCCCTCTTTTGTTTATTAGACTTCTGTTTCTCCAGCTCTGCCTTTTCTTCCAAAAACAAACGATATTTAGTCCTGGCACCTGCAGCTGCAATGAGCAGCCCACTACTGATGCTGACATTTGACAATCCCCCTACACTGGCAACATGGTCACAAATCAGTCTCTTGGCCACCACAGTTTTTTCATGCATGTTCACCAGCATGACTTCCTTATTCACGCTGAAGCCTCGCTCCACTGTGGCCTGGCCATGTGACAGCATCAGTAGTGTGCGTGCTAATGACCAGAGCAAAGAATAATCTTCGTTGTGCCCCATATATTGGGAAAAAAAGGTTTCATGGCGATCGGTGCTGCAGCAAAAGGAGGAAAATATGCTAGAATAGGAAGCACTAATGCTGCACTGCCACTGCAGGAACTGCATCTTAATATTGTCGCAGTGGTCTGGGTTGATCCTACCAATTGAAACCAAGCAGGACATTACATTTTCTAACTGCTTGACACAAGCTTGACAATCATTAACAATACATTTGGGTTGCAGCCAATCCAAATTCTGAACAATCTTGTTCTTAATGGGTGTTTTGTCTATAATCTTTGTCACAACTGCTTTTAAAAAATCCCTGCTTTCCATCTGGAATTGGAAAATATCCCTTTGGCTCACTTTAGTTTTAATTTCTTTGACTGCAGCTTTGGATTTGAAACCAATGTCAACATCAGACGGTGGTAAAAGATTTTTTGTTGTTGACATGTCTAAACACAGCAGTGTTGCAACTGATGAGCATTCTTTCTTGAAAACTTCTGGTGCAACAAACCTCTGAAGCAGGGATCGCAAAAGGTTAAAAAGCTCATGTGCCATGAATGGCAGCATGGGGGCATCGCCTTGGAATTTTTTAAGGAATGGCTGCAAAGTCTTGGCAATTGAAATAAGACACTCAATCCTTGCAGTTAAAAAATGGTCATTCAAACAATTCTGCAAAAATTCAAAAGACTTGGTGTTTGGTGCTTTTTTTTCTGCCAAAAGGGATTTTATAAATTGCTTGACGTGTGGCCAAACTTTTAATGCCCTCTCTGCTACCATAACATTCTCCACCCAGCGATGTGGGCAATGATCCAGGGGGAAATGGCTGCTACCAGTGAGTCTCGTGTAGTCTTCACGGCGTGCCGGAGTATCTTTAAACAACCATGAGAGAGAGGAGAAGAAGTGACTTAACTCCCATTTAGATGCCACAAGCCCAGAACGAAAGGCATTGTGTATGGTGTGCAGACCACAACTACCAATGTCGATAAAACCTCTTGCAGAAACATGTTTTAACTCAGCCAAGAGCAGTTTCAGTAAAGCCCAGTTGACATTGGGTCCATCCATGGAGATTTGAACAACTTTGCTCTGGTCAAAGTCAAAAAGACTTGTTATTTTTTGAAACATATCTTGAGCTGTTGCATGTCCCAGGAAGGCAGACCCATAATACCTTGTAATGACCTAAAATGTTAAATACACTATTTTGTTATGCAATTTTTAAAATTAGATCTATATTTTTAAATTGCATTGCAATGTTATGTATAACATTGATATAAAAAAAAATAATTAAAAATAGTTATTTACCTTGTCATCATCCCAATGTCTAACGTGTATGTCCATCTGTTTCTTGCTGAGCTCCCGATTGAGGGCCTCGTCAAACAAAAGGATGAAACCATCATCTAAACTTTTAAGTTTGGCCTTCAGCAACTCATGAAAATATGGCCCAAGTCCAAAAGACACCATGTATGCCATTTTATCCGGCCCACAGGAAAGCATCTTAGCAATTTCACTATCCGGAAACATTCGATAAAAATGGCTAGAAATGTCTGCACAGCTGTTAAATGAATAATGCGAACATACTGCTTTTAAGGCCCATAAAATCTCAGCAGACAATGTTTGCTCACTGGTGACATGAGTTTTCATTGTGGTTTGAGCCTGTGGCAACTTCGAAGTTGATGGACCAGGACAGGGTAATGATGACTTTTCAGCTACAGCTGTAACTTCAAGCTGGGATGCTGCGGCTGCCGATGGTGAAGGGGTTACAGTAGGCACAACAGCTTTCTTGAACAGAGAGGCAACAGTCATGCAACCAGAAGACTTATTATCAAGCTGTACATGCTTGCTTGATTTCATATGCGATTTGATTGCTGCCTCTCCCATATTACAAACGTCTATCGATTTGGCACATAACCGACAATATGCCTTGGTTGCTGAGGTTTGTTGTAGCCATGATTTATACAAATCGTTCTCTAACCATGCAGGTTTGAACGAAGTGGTATATTTCGGCATAATGAAATGTTAAATTGAAATGAAAACAAAATAGTTCACAACTGAAATCCAGAAATTTCTCACAGTGACGCAGTAAAAATGAAATAGATCTATGAATGAACATCCAAAGAATCAAACTCAAGAGCTGACACTTGAATAATCGAAGATCCCGCCAGACGGACCCTTATATAGACCAAGGCTAAATCTAGTTTTAAACCAACATCCGATGTGCGCAGAATTAAAAAAAACGGAAACGGAAACTCTAAGCGGCGGCGTAAACAAAATACCGAAAATGCACGCAAATTCACGAAAAATTTGTTACGCGCGAAAATTCCAGGAGATTTTTCAAAATTTCAGGAGAAATTTTCAGAAATTTTGAATTTCCAGGAGAATTCCAGGACTTTTGGGTTTTTTTCAAATTCCAGGAGAATTCCAGGACATCCTGGAATTTCAGGAGGCCGCGGGAACCCTGAAAAATTTAGTGAGACTACTAGTCTCGGCTGATTTTACGTACCTAAAACAATAGATTACAGTTTTTTTAAGTTGGGGGATTTCTAAGCCTACACAGCTGTTACCTGTAAGTCTCGAGTTTGAATCTGGGTTCAAGTCAATAGACCGTCTCTGAGTCCACGCAACTCTGATGGGTACCTAACTCACGTTAGGGAAAGTAAAGTTGGATGGGAATAGTGCTGACCACACTATCTCTTCATATGCCGAGGTCACAGAAACAAGTGAACTATACTTCACTTGCCCTATAGACCGTCAGGTTTGAAAGGGAACTTTACTTTAACTTTTTACTTTTTAAAACGACTGATTAGGCCTACTGAATACTACTGATTACAGTGATTACTGATTACAGAAGTCAGAAGACTGAGAAGAGGCTTCTCTTCGGAGTAGTCACTTCACAGGTTATTAAGTAAGAACATCAATAGGCCCTAAATGACAAAACTTAACAGATACTTAATCAGCTTCAATTTTTTAGTCATTCCAATCTCTATGATGATAGGATCTCAACTTTCAGAAATATAAAAAGAAAACGTAACGATTGAGACGTGAAGTCTGAGAAGTTGCAAGTCGTAAGAAAGAAGAGAATTCTACACGATTATATTGAGAAGTCTGATAACAACTAATGACAAAGCTGATGTTTTTTCCAAGACTCAATGGAAAACTATGGAAAAAGAGTTCTGAAATAATTTAATACCTGAATTTGATGAAAGAACAATTTTCTCTAAATTTGCATAGGATATTCTCACAACTTCTTCTTTAGCTGCCATTATTCCATTTTAGTTTAGATGGACGATTTCAAATACCAATGATTAGTAGATCTAGTGAATAATGCATCTATTGCAATTACAAAATTCTTAACTTGATTTATTAGTGTAGTAACTGTTACTGTTCTGTTTGCAATACTTAAAATACTTTTTGAAAAGTCATATTAAGAATTTGTATTGTCAGTGTATATTCATTGGTGTTTACATGGTAACAGAAGGCCTAATGTAATGTACCATTACCAGTTTTATTTTTTGTAGTGAACAATATATTGAGTATCGATAACACCCATCTGGTTGTTTCTGTAGTAAAAATATATTATTATTTCTTTGTGAGGAGAACTTCAATTTTCATATTTAGAAAAGAAGTATTCATCTGGCACCAGAAATATATGGTCCAAATCGATATATATGGCTAGATCTAAGCACTAATTAATTATTCTTTCAATTTTTCGTCTATTAAAATTCTCTGCATATATTGTCATGACACAATGTCACTCACTAATGATTTCTATAGCTTAGTTCGCTGAGCAAAATTTCCTTTTAACAAATCCTTATTTGTTTGGTTCTCTCCCTTGGTACAGATTCTTGTTTTTTTTTTCTTTACTTTTTAGCGCAATTTCCATACGGACAATTGCGATTATTCATTCGTTCTGGATGGATGTGCGTCCGATGTGTGTCCGCAGCTTTAAGTCGTATCTCCTCCTCAACGAAGCAATAGCGAGGACTAGTTCCAAAAACAAATATGTTAAGCAAGTTCCGAGGATGATTGTGGGCCAAAAAAATTCCCGGAATTCCTTCCTGGATTTCCCGGAAAAGCCAAAAAACCTCAAAAAAATGCAGTTTTTTTCCCATATCTCGGCAACCAGACCACTTAGCGACTTGAAACATTTACCAATCGATTCCTGCCATAATTTAGAACAATATTGCCGAAGAAAGTTTTCAAAAATATCCTTTCGTACGGTCAAAAATAAAATTAATCGAGGAAATTGCGCTTAAATTGTCACTAGACTTTTTATTAACTTGTTTCTTTCTCGGAGTATGGAGAAAGTATTGTAATCGTGCAAAAAAATCGTTTTACATCTCCCTGAGTCAGAAAAACATAGTTTTGCAATCTTGTCCGTATGTCTGTCTCTGTGTGTGAGTGTGTTTGTGTGTGTGTGTGTGTGTGTGCGTGTGGGTGTATGCGCGCGTGCGCGTCCGTGTGCGTGTAAACACGATAACTTGAGTACCGTTACAGCTAGGTTAATGAAATTTCATATAAAAGTATTAAATCAAATTTGTCGATCTGTATCAACTTTTCAGCGACTTCCGATAACCGGAAATGGAACTTTTTCTACTTTCAATTTTTCCAACCTGAGAACTATTTCAGATAGATAAATGAAATTTCATATATGAGTAAGAGATCTAATTCTCTGCCTTCTGTCAAATTTTAAGTTATTTCCGTTCACCGGAAGTAGTAATTTACGCTATTTCCGATTTCTAAAATACCCATATTAATTTATATATATATATATATATATATATATATATATATATATATATATATATATATATATATATATATATATATATATATATATATATATATATATATATATATATATATATTAGCTATATAATATTTCTTCAATACGGTGCAAAATAGATTCAAATAGTACTCTTTGAAGAACACAAAACAAAAACACAAATAATGTGAGACACAAAACAATTTATCACACATAACAATACAAAATACAACACAAAATATATACACAACACAAAAACAAAAGACAACCAGAAATGCAACACAACCACTTATGTAATCATTTTGATAGAAACAACAACTTAAATATAATTTCTTCTTCTTCGTTCTTAATTTTTAATGTTTGGATGGATTGAGCTTTATCTGCCAGAGGGTTTGAAACCGAGACTTTTTCGGTTTAAGAACCATGATCTTTTTGCAGACTCGACCACGCTTCCAACACAACTAAGTATAGTGTGAACTGGTTATGCGCCATTGACTCCGATTTCAGCCTGCTTTTCTTTTTGGATTTGCTTTCAAACTCGAGACTTTTCGGTCTAGCAACCATGAGCTTTACTGGCTCGACTACGCCGACCACTTTTGATATAATTGAATACCACTAGAATAGTTGCGCTATTCTGTCTGTCTGTCCAGAACAGAGGCGTAGCGACCCTTCCCGGCGCCCGGTGACAAACTTTCAATTTGGCGCCCCGCTCGGGAGCAACCTTTCAATTTTCAATTAGCACCCCCCCCCCCTCACTCAAACTTTCGATATGAACCCCCCTTCAAACTTTTGATTTGCACACCCCCCCCCCCTCAAACTTTAAATTTGCACCCATTTTGGCGCCCCCTAAGGTTGACGCCCGGGGACATATGTACCCCCCCCCTTGCTACGCCTCTGGTCCAGAACGCTTTAGAGCAGGGCTCTCCAAACTTTTCAGTCCGAGGGCCGCATTAACTATCAAATTTCAGTTCGGGAGCCAGTTTCTTCCAGGCATGTCTTTGATTTTTCTGGGTAAAGTTCCTCAGCCATCACCAACAAACGTTTTTTCCGTGGACAAAAAGATCTCCGCGAGCCGGATGAGAGCACATCGCGGGCCGTAGTTTGGAGACCCCTGCTTTAGAGGAAACACGTGGACATTTAAAAGTTGCACAGTTAACAACCGTGACCTCACGTGGAACATATAGGAAATTTTCAAAACATAACGAAACAAGTACAGTTTTAAACTCGAAAAAAAGTACACACAAAACAAAATGACGTCATTGATTCTAGAGTAAACATAGAATTAAAAATCCAATGCCGAAAACAATACACAATAATAATGACGTCATCGAAAGAAACACAGCGGCCAAAAGTAGGAAACAGGTCTAGATTATGGATGTCTGGTCAAAAATTAAATGGCTATGACTTTTTGAGCCTAGCCTAAATGATGGGCGTTGGATTGAATAATCTTTTTAGTGGAAACTTTTGATTTGCACCCACCCCCTCAAACTTTCAATTTGCACCCCCCCCACTCAAACTTTCGATGCGCCAGAGGACGTATGCCCAACCCCCCCCCCCTCCCCGCTACGCCTCTGGTTGAGTCTAAACACACTAACACACAACCTACTGGAGCCATTTTAACGAAGATCAATATCATAAAAACAATACCTGATACATTTTAATAAAGGTATGAAAATTAACTGTGAATAACGCGCTCGTTGGCTAATGTATTGTAAATCAACAACAGCAACAAAAAAAAAAAAAAAAAAAAAGAAAACTAGGGCTTTTATGATAAAATAAAGAGTTATTAAAGAGCGCTAATTTTATTGCTTGTTATGTTCATTGAAAATAAGAGCTTATAGAGCCTATAGACTATACATAAATGGGTCCTTATATAAATAAATATATTATATATATATATATATATATATATATATATATATATATATATATATATATATATATATATATATATATATATATATATATATATATGTATATATTCAAGCTAGATTAAATTTTTATAAAACGTTTTTGCATCTGTCTGCGAGTTTGAATAACCAAATCAATAGGCCTAGCCTACAAAGCAGAAGAGAGAAGGCCGCGAGGACATATTTTGTTTCAGCGTTCTCATTGGTTAAAATTTTTCGTATACTAACCCAGATGAACGTGTAGCAGATTTTAATAATAAACCAAGCAGCAGTCTGCAGTGAACTTGGATTCTAGCAGTAACACCCCGACATTAAATTTCGGCAACCGTTAGCCGGGAACAGAATGGGTCGTTCGAGACACATTCATCTTAGAAAATATTCCTTGTATCGACAAAAACAGTTTACTTGTGATTAATAGTGCATATTTTAACTATCGTATTGTATTATTTTTGGTTGTAAATTTGAGTGTCTGCCTGCGAACTCGTTCACACAGGTCAAGATGTACAATCAGCTGTTTTGCAGAACAATGACCACTCCTATTTTACAAATTTCAGTCCGCATAAAGTCAGTAAACTTATCTAAAACGGTATCATTTCTACAAGTGCGCTGTTATTCAGACGATTTCCACAAATTAAGAGAAAAGGGAAATCCAAATGGAGATGTGCGCAAGGAGTTTCGAAATGTTACGAGTTTTTATTACCAGAGTGCTATTGATGCCGCTGCTATGCAGGTAGGTAGTAGGTACTGTTAAGTACTGTAGGTCTAGGTAAGACTAAGACTTAAGACTAAAGCTAATAAATATTAAAGTTAAAGGTTGGTTAAATCCCCCCCCCCCTTGTTTTTAATGTTCAAATAGTGAGAAAATAGGTCTTACCATGAGATTAATATTTAATAAAGAAGTTAAATTGAATGGGCATGGGTGTGTCAGTTAAAATATAAATAAAACTAAGCCAGGTCAAAATAGTAAACAAAGACCCAACATCAGCTTAACTTAAAGAAAGAGCTAATTTTGGAAATTATGTTATTGATGGAGCCTTTTTATATTTAAGTCCCATTGACTCGAGATTAATGTCTAGCAGTTAGACAGTTAGACCTTTATAATATAAGTATTATTTAGGGCAGGGCCTAGCCTAGGCCATTTATTTTCAGTAGGACACACACATAGGGGCCTATTTATAATTGTATAAATAGTTAATACTTAATGCTTTTATTCTTCAACGTTAAGCCTTTACTTTAATCTAATACCATATTATTCATTTCCACAATATTTACAACTTATTGGTGTTTTTCTTTAACAAAATAGGAAGATACTGATGACACTTCACTTTATTTTGATTATTATTTATGCTTATAAAGCATGAATTCAGTAATCATGTTCTGCAAATCAAGTTAACATATGTTGGTTGTAGGCATATTTCTGTTTAGCCTACATACCTTTAGAACCATGGTTTTTAAAAATTATCTTCTGTACATTAATTAAGTCAGCATGCCTGATTTCAACCATCTGTATTAGATATAAAAACAATTAAAAACATCTTAAGTCTATATATTAAATTTCCAAGGATGCATCTAGCCATCTGTATTAGATATAAACACAATTAAAAACACGGGAAGAATGTTTACACCGGTGTCTGAAATCTTCTTTAAAAAAGGGGTGTTAGGTTACTGGTAGTTAACTAAATACACACATGGCTGGCTAATGTCAATGCTAACCCTGTCCCTAACCCTAACCCCAACCCTGGTCCAAACATACGCCTAACCCTAATTTCTAATCATAAAATTAGTCGAGATTACAATACTACTAACAACCCAACACCCCTTTTTTTAAAGAAGATTCCATTATCGGACACTGGTATCTATAATCATCCAAAAACACCTATGTATTAAGTTGTCATGATTGCTTTCAGCCATCTGTCCGCCTTACCCCGGCAGCAATCTTGTATTCTGGTAAAAGTCCAGATAAGAGCCACATTCTTGTAAGTAATGTTTGTATACTGTTATAACTAATCATTCACTATTTATTATTTTTTGTACACTTTAAAGTTATCTATTATTATTCTTGCCAGAAAGTTAAAAAAATCTCAAGTAAAGTTATTGTGACTCTTATGTTATTGCAAGGGTTCTTAGTTAAAGAAAAGTTTGCTTTTTTTTAAGCAAGAATATTTTTTAATGTAAGAATATCAATTCAAATAAGAAATGTTGTTATGGCATTAATAAAATGTAATAATTTTATGTAACTAATAAAGACAAATAAATAGGCCTAAAACTTAGCTAATAGTTTGTTTTAAAATTAAAGTCCAAATAAAAATGGGTTGAATCAGACTCATGATTTATTTACTGGAATAATTGCAGTGTGTTCCTGTTTGTGTGATCTTAAGCCACAACATATGCACCTTGATTGCTAATTAATTAGTGATGTAAGAATGTTAAGAGCACACACACCTTGTTAATAGCAAGATTAGTAGACTGACCTTTGACCCTCTACGTGCACTTTGCACTTTATCTCGTTTGTTCCTCTGGTCTAGCTGAAGCGACCTATTTAAACACACCGATAAAGGCGTGACCTATTTTCTAAAAATAATGTGACCCTCCCCCTTTTCCTTGCCTTTTATCCGCTTTTGTCCCTGAATCTAATTATATTTTCTTTCTTCACAACACTGTTAAGCAGGTCACCAACGATTTTAGATCTATAGGTCAATGTGACTTTAGTTGAAGGTTCTGTTGCACCAGCTTCGTTTGTTAATTAATTCCCTCTTTTTTTTTTAGTGATTTGTAATGTTGAGTTGTTCTACACGTTTTTTTCCCATATTCAGCAAAATCAAATAGACCCTTTACAAATTAAAATTAATACATTAATTTTTAATTAGTTTTAAATATAAATTAACCTAACCCAAAACTTATTGGCATTTATTTATTTGATGTAGTAAACTTAGGAGACATCAGTTTTTCTTTTTAGTAGGCATACATCGCCATTGTGTTTTTTCTTCTTAACATATTTTGATAAAAAGCCACACTCGAAGTTATATATTTTAAAAATTTCTATTCAGTAGACCTCAGAAACAAACACATTTAAATGATGTTATGTACTCTTAGAAATCTTTGTGCCCGTTTAAATTTTTCTGTTGTGTGAAAACCATACATAATACATAAAGTTTTGGTCATTGACTGGGAGAGACTTCATGCGACCTTGTAATCGTATCTCCGCGGGTTGCCGACAACGGGGGATAACCTGTACTACTGACCGCAGATGACCCCCGACCCGTACGTTGCGAGGTGCTAACCTCAGCCGACCCGTCTAGCCGAGTAACTATGATATTTCGTAGTGTCAGTGTGGTCTATAGCAATCCCTAGGGGGGGGGGGGGGAGAAGATGGGCACACGAGCGTAGTTACGTTGTGGACCGGGTTAGGCAGTTACCCCTGGCGACCTGACAGTTTGAACCCCCCCCCCCCCACCCACCGATGGCTTTATTTACACGAGGGGGTAAGCCCACAGGCCAGTGATATAAACAGATGCGATAAGCCGTCGTTAGTGCCAGCTGCTTTAATGCCCAGAGCCGTGTGGCCCATTGTGGACACAGTGACATTGTGCACGTACAGTTATACGCCAGAGTTCCTTTGTACGCTATAGCGTTTGTGTGTGTATGTATGGTACAGGTATGTTGTGATCTATATGCAGTTACATTGTACGCTGTTGAAGTTACTTTTTAAAGCTAGTTATTTTGTAAGTTTCTTTGAAGCTGCACTTACTATGTAAGCTGCTACTATAGTCACTTTGTAAGATGTCCACTACTTTACTTATGCTACGTGACTTTGAACACTGCAGCTTCTCCATAAGTTTGTCAGCTGTAGCGTTACTTAGCCCAGTAAAAAAATGTCTTGGTCTGGTATGTAGGGGCCCCTACTTCACATTCCCTATCAGCTGTGCATGTCGTGTCTGATGCACTAGTCAATGCTAGCTCGTCCTTCACGTCATGAAACATGATCTCAATACAAAACATAAAGCCGTCACACTTTTTGTACAAGTGATCTCCCCGAAATTATTTTTTTCTCTGTAAGCCTAATTTTTTTTCTAGGCCATACGGCTGAACCATGACCTAATTGTCGTGGTGTCAACAGCGCCCCCTTCTGTTACGTTGTACTTGTGTATTGGGAGTGTAGGCTACACAAATTAAAAAACAGCATCTTCAAGTTTTCAGCGCGTTAACACGTGCTAGTTCACATGCTGTTGTCACGTGATCATCAAATCAATAATTCTGTCCCTATTCTTTTACCACTGAAGCAACAATTCTTCACTCGTTGAATTAAACAGAGAATTAATTAACGACGTCTCGAAAAATATTTAATAATGAATGTTGATGGATTTCTGTATTTTCATGTCATGTAGCCAATGCACGTTGGCTGATGTTGTTTACAGTCGTAGTCCGCGATATGATTTGTTTACATGTGTACCTGCTAGGCATTCGATTTGAGCTGAGGCGGACACACCGATCGCGCGCACCTGTACAAACATGGCCACATGTGAACGTGTGGCTAATACAAGTCTGTATCGATAGATCAAGACGTGGGTAGTGTCGAGGGTGGCTCGCTTGAGGAATTAAAAAAATTGTATAGGGCCTACACTTTTTAAAAATATTGATTTTCATGGTTGTTTTATTTAAAAAAAAAAAATTAAGAAAACTATTTTGATTTGAGGGCTGAAATAATATTATATTTTTTTTTAAATATAGGGAGTGACTCATGAATGTTGAGTCCGTCATGGGAAAGGGGAGGGTTAAAAATAGCTAAGCCTACATTTTGTGTTTGTTAAAAATAAAATGTTATAAAGCATTACTTTGTTTAGAATAGTCGTTATTTAAGGACAAGGGCGGAACATTGTTTACTTTGCGTTGTTTTTGTGATGACGTAGAATGTACAAGCTGAAAATTTGCTGAAATTACATGGTTAGTGTAAACGACCCCTATAGAAAATTTTAAAATATTCCTTATGTAAATTAGAAACAATCGGCCCCCGTCTTGATCAACAGGGTTTATTCCATGCAGGCCTGTCACGTGTCTATCTCATGTTGGTAAATGTTGCGCTTTCTCGCACCGTACTAAGGGCGATAACCTACTTGATGGGAATACTACTGTACTAAACGAGGTCAATGTCAAACCTACAGACTTCCTTCCCCTTTCTCCTCCTCTTTCTCTCCCCCCCCCCCCCCCCCGCCCACTGCGCGTTAGAACAGGTTGCTATTGATTTAATGCTAGACTAGTGCATTTGGCAAGATTCTTGCAGTCACATCCGAGGTGAAAGATGCATTGTCTTGGCTGTCCTTGTACCTGTTAACTTTTTGCTAGTTACCCTTTTCACTACTTAACCTTTGCATATGTGCTCCCCACATGCATTGCTTATTACTACCTAGTGATCCTTACATTCAACCAACTAGGCCTTCTTCTAATAATTGTTTCACTGAGTCCTACTGTTTGTTATTAAAATCAGTGAAAAGATAAATATATCATACACTATCTACAAAGTTCTTATAGATAAAAATGTTTACTAGATGATGATTTCTTTGTGAACTGAAGTGAATCAAGATAATGTTCCCTGTTTGATAAAGTACACCTGTATTATATCCCTTGTACTAATATTGATTTGTCTTGTTTACAATCATGTAAACAAGGCCAGCCTTGAAGGTAGAAAACACACTGTATTTCTACAACCATTGCACTTATAGTTACCATCAGGAAATATAATTTGTAGGTTTTTTGTAAATTTAGTTTATTAGTTTAAATGGATTTCATTTATTGAAAGAGTATAAAAAACATACTAACCAAATAATATAAGTTTTCTCTAATATGATGTTTGGGCTAGGGAAGCCTGCATGTTTAAATCATCACTTTGTATTTTCAAGTTTCTAGGCCTAAGTGATGCATTTTAATAAAGGCCAATAGAACTTTTCTTGGTATTGTTAAAAACACCTCATGTGTTCAGGGGCGGAACTACAGTGCCGCCAGACCCCGCAATGCGGGGGGGCCCACGCCATTTAGGGGCCCAGAGCCGACCATAATACATTTTTTATAGTTTAAAAAAAGTAACTTTTCTTTCATTTTTGACTTGATGGTTGTTTTGTAAAAAATTACCGTAGCTGCGTTTGATTATATTTATTCTATAGACACCAGCCCACGCTCTTGTATAGGCCTATTCTTTTTCCCTTTGTTTTTAAACCACTGTGAAAGCCGAGTCTTTCTCCTACAATTAAACTTATAAAAGATAAGCAAATGTTCAAACCACTTCCATGACTTATTTCCCTTTTTTTTAAAAATAGTTAAATAGGGGTGATCATAAACTTCTTTTAATAGATTTGTATTAAACAAATTAAAAGCAATTACTTCTCTTAATTATTATTTTTTTTATAAGTAATTACTAAAGAATGACATTGTATAAAAAGGAAATGTATTAAATCAATAATATTTTAAAAATTAGTAATAAAAATAAAAAAAAAACATAAAAATAAACATAACACGAGACACCATTACTTATACAAAGCTTTCATGCCTTATATTATTTTGACCGACTATTAAGAGACTAATATTAACAATTAATTCAAACTGAATTTCACAAAACACACATGGTGATAGCTGTTAGTATGTGATAATGTGTAGATAAATCTCTGTGATAGCCGAATAATTAATTGGTGTATCGTTTTAGTGAATTGTTAGGAAAAAATGCTAAATTACTCCTACCATTACTGAAGAGTTGGAGACCAAGGCATTGTTAGTAATCTAGTTGAAGTTAAATATTGTGAGCGTCTGATTGTACCTCTAGTTATACTGACTTGCACACATGGGTTTTTTCATCTATATACACTTGTATCTCATTGTTATTCGGAGTTCACTTATTCATTGGGATGTTTATTTATATGACTAGATTTGGTGGCATTGAATGCATTCCTTGTATGGAAAGAAAGAAGCATACATACATTTTTTTCATCATGCATTGTATCTGGAAACTTGATTAAAATCCTTTGTTTTTAGTCACATAAAAAAAAAAAAAAAAAAAAAAAAAAAAAAAAAAACACACATGCTCATACACACATGACATGATTCTGTTGAAATTTCATTTAATTGATGTTTTTAAAATCCCGAACAGGCTAGCAATGAGTATCCTATGTTTGTATTTTATGATTGTTTATATATATATATATATATATATATATATATATATATATATATATATATATATATATATATATATATATATATATATATATATATATAGGGGGGCCTAAAAAGAAATTTTGCGGGGTGGCCCTATTTTTCTAGTTCCGCCACTGCATGTGTTATGTATGAATTGATGTCCCTGTTCTATTAATAATCACCATGTAATTATTGTTCACCCTGATTGACTTACCTTCTGTATATCTTGAACAGAGGAGTGCCCAGTACCTGCACAAAGAGTTGCCAGTACGATTAGCTCACAGGATCAATGGCTTCAGGAATCTTCCTTTTATTATTGGCTGCCATCCTATCTTGTTAAGTGTGGTCAGTATTATCAAAAACAATTTTAGAATCTTTGTAGTTCTTTTGTAAGTTGTTATTATTTCTATTAAATGATTTGGTATTATTAAAAAACTATTTTAGAATCTTTGTATTTCTTTTGTAAGTTGTTATAATTTCCTATTAAAAAGGGTCAGTATTATTGAAAACTGTTTTAGAATTTTAGTATCTCTTAGTAAGCTGTTATATTTCCTGTTAAATGTAAGTAAAGTAAGTAAAGTTCCCTTTCAAACCTGATGGTCTATGTTAAATGTGGTCAGTGCATCATTTGAAAACAAATTTTTATATATATTATTTCCTCCCATTGTCCATATGTCACACAGGAGAAATGCCTACATTGCTTTATTTCCCTCTTTCTCAGCATGAGCTCTACATTCGTTCTTTCCACATTCTGAGTGACTGGAGGCCTGTAAGTTTTTATTTGTAGTTTTTTAATATACATACAAAAATTTACCTTCTATTAAAATTATTAGTTATATTACAAAGCTTTAATGAAGTTCAAGCAATTTACTTGTGTTTGGAACAATATTTAAAAACTTAAAAAAAGTAAAATAAACTTTCTTTGTGTTTATTTTTTTAATGCATGTTTAGAATTCTTTTTGTTTACACTACATTTTAATAAAATCTAATAAATAAAATACAAACTTTTAGTAATAAAATAAAACTTTGTTCTATAAGTTTGCATTAATAATGTATTAAGAATTTTAGAATTGATAGTTTTACAAATTAACAAATTATGATAAATTGTTGTTACAAATAGTTTAATGCATTCCTTTTGTTTGAACACAGATCCGAGATCTAGACCAAGAAGCTCAGTGGTCAGACAACTTGAGAAGTCTCCTAGATGACCACAAGGATGTAGTTACACACCTGGCTGAGGGCTTTTCAGAGTGTCGGAAATATGTCAATGTAAAATATTATTATTATAGCTTTTACTTCCTAACTTTAGAATGTTACAAAGTATATAGGAATTATTTATATAACTTAAATTGAAAACTTATAGTTGACGCTGATCATGGATACTGTGTGGCTGCATTACTGTTTTGTAACTTGTTTTTATATTAAATATGTCTTTTTTTACCTTGCCTGAGACTTGTACTATTTACAAGATAAAATTATCATTGCTCTAGAATAACATACAATCTTTTATTACTCTTTACTTGAAGTGATACAAGTTATATGTTAGTCATGTTAGAACAAATACATAAAACAGCATAATTAAGAAATGCATGATTATTAATATTCCCTTAATTTATTTTTACTAGATGTTTCTAAGTAATTTAAAAACGTTTGTTGTCCACAGGATGAAGGTCTGATTAAAGCATTTCTGGACAGAACCTTGACCTCTAGGCTGGGAATTCGAATGTTATCTGAGCACCATCTGGCTCTGCATGATGAAAAGGTTAACATACATTTTTTACATTACATTACATTCTATTTTATTTATACTTTATAAAACGGCAACTGTTGCCCAGTTATATATAGTAATGCTTTTAATTTATTTAGCATATTTTAGATTTGATAGTTTTGTTTCAAATTTTTTTTTGTATTGTCATTTTAGCCAAACCATGTGGGTATTATAAATATTGCATTCTCACCACGCAAAGTTGTTGAAAAGAAAGCAGAGTTTGTCAGGTGAGATTTTAAATTAAATATTTTTTGATGCTGAGTTTCTTAAGTAAATTTTAACATTTAAAACTTTAAGCTCTCTATTTTTAATTTTTTATAGAGCCAAACTTTGAATTAATGCATACTATCACAACATTTTTCTAGGAGCATTTGTGAAGCCAAGTATGGTGTGGCTCCTAATGTGAAGATCAATGGACATGTAAATACCACTTTCCCTTACATTCAGCCACCATTAGATTATATCCTCTGTGAGATCTTCAAGAATGCCATGAGGTTAGTTATCTGCCACATAAAATAACACTAGGATCTGCAATTTGGCCCTTTAGCAGCAAGAGTGATTAAAAAGCAGTTCTTGTCTGTATTAAAACAATTGAAAAATTTATTGCATGTTTTAAGTTTAGTTAAAACTTGAAAAACAGTACTAAATTATGACTTCAGTGCTCTTGAAACATTTTTTTGCAACATCAACAAAACTTTTAGATTACATCTTATTATTCATTTAAAAAAAGCTATCAACTTCTGAGTCTTTAAGTTTTAAATATATCTGTTTTGTTGGTTGATATCAGAATCATTGTAAAATGTTCTATCTTTGTACTAGGGCATCTGTTGAGTCTCACTTGAATGGTGCTGGTGTTCCTGATATCAATGTAACCATCGCAAACAATGAACATCATTTTGTTATCAGGTTTGTCAACTTTATTTTAACCTTTATTTTTAACCTTTAGATCCAATAATTTTAATTTGAAATAATTTTTTAAAAAAATGAGATTTTGACTACATAATAACATTTATCTGTATCTGTTTCACAAATTATTATAATAATAAAGAATGCCAAACAGAGCTCAGTACAAAAAATATTAATGTGAATTTTTATAATTTTGAAAAAATATACTTAACCATTTCAACCATAGCCAAATTTATATGAATGATTAAGTGGAATAAGTCAAATAATGTGCTATTCCTAACTTGTTAAAGGAAAATAGCCCTTCATATTTCCAATACAAAATCTGTTCACTAAAGTTATTAAAACACTGATGATGAGAATCATTTTTTGTTTATTCATGGTTAAATATCTTCTCACAGAATATCTGATAGAGGTGGCGGCATCCCGGCTAAAATAATGAATAGGGTGTTTGACTACAATTTTACAACTAGTGGTGCTTTACTGGATGATAAAGTAGATGGTGGATTATTTGGTCAGTTTATGAATGCTGATCACACTGGTCCAGCACCAGGCAAGATGCATGGGTATGTTCTTATTATATATGATTTATATTAAATAAATAAATTATTTAGATAAAACATCTTCATTTGTGTTAATATTTGTTGGATCTAATAAATGATAACGCTTGTTGGATCTAATAAATGATGACGCAAACACGTCAGGAGAGTTCCCTTGGAACCTGTAGAGTTGACAGGTATCTGTGACCTCAGCTTATGAAGGGATAGTGTGGTCAGCACCATGCCCAGCCGCCTTTAATTTCAGTAATGTAAGTCAGAGTACACATCAGAGTTGGTATGACACTAGCCAATGAACAAACTCGAGACTTTTAGGTTAGCAGTTGAATGCTCTACCGTTCAACCACTAATACCAACATGTAAGCTGGTTTAACTCCTCTGAAATATAAGTTTCTATTTAACCTGATGGCTGACTTGTTTTTGTTTCTAGAATAAATTTAGGTAAAAATGAAGCTTTACTGTATTCAGTTTCTCAACAAAGCAGGTTTTGAAATTTTGTTGCTCTAATGTAATAAATTTATTTTATGTGAAATAATGTTTCTGTTCGACAGATATGGATTTGGGCTACCTAGCTCTCATGCCTATGCTAAATATCTTGGTGGTTCCTTAACCCTAGAGTCACTAGAAGGCATCGGAACTGATGTCTACCTCAGGCTAAGCCACATTGATGGGAGATCAGAAAGCTTTCGCATATAAATTTTCTATCAGGAATGTTTATTTAAAAATTGTAATTGTAGCATAATCTTTACCTAGTAGGCTTATTTACCTTGTAACATCATTAAAGATATAAAATACCATCATGTGATTCAAATAGATGAAAGCTCTTTCACAGTTGGTGTTATTGTATTTTATAGCCACATTTTCATTTGGTGGTCTGTTCAAAAGTATTACATTTTGTCTTCATGCTTGTATTTACTTTTATTCAATTTGCATTTTTTAAAACCCTTTTGTCTCCATTCATCCCGGTATTTTGTTTCTTTTGGTGAAAGAATTCATTTTTCTTTTTCTGTATCTTAATAAAAGTCAGTTTAAAGAAAAACTACCATTTTTAAAAAACTATAAAACTAAAGTAAATAAAAAAAAATTTCAATGTTAAAGGTAAGAAAAGAATTAATAAACCTTGAAGATGCCCAGCAACCTCCAAGAAGTTTTTATTTTATGGTTTTTCTTCCTGGTAGCATGAAGCAATTTCCACCAAACATTTATAATGAGCAGTATTTTTTCAACTGTATTATTTGGTATTGGTATGTCCACCCATAGTGTATTGGATTACTCAATGATCCATTGAAGAGATTAAGTGGATATGATGTAACCTGTTACATTGATTTAAAAAATAAACTTCAGAATCCAAACTAGTTAATGTGCTGTTTACCTCTGCCAAACTTTTTATGTCATACAGGGCTATGTTGATGACTAAAAAGGTATCATTACATGACTTATGTTAAGTTTTTATTAACCAAAAAGTTTCTTCTGATGCATGACAATTATTATGGGTTCTGACGTTTATTAATGTATACCCACATTTATTTATGATCAAACTATTTGTTCAGATGACTGGGGTTGTTTTTTTTTGGAAAAAAGAATTATATATCTCATCTTTTGAGAAATGAACAATCTTAATGGATCGCAATCTCACTTTTAAAAAAAAAAATTGCTGTAAATTGCACCTGGTTTATTTTGTACCTGTTTTGATTTTTCAGTTATGAAAAAGTTATAAAGGATTGCCATTTTAAAATGATTGTTGTAGTTGTGAACTATTTTTATTTTTGAAAGTGTAGATGGGTCAAATAATTTTTTTGAACAAAATCATTGTGCACTAAAATTACTGAATAGACTGTAACATAGTTAATGGAATATGTATCTGCATTCATTAAAAAAATTCAATTTTAAATTAATTTTGCTTTCTTTGTATGTACAGAATCTCGCACACATTTGAGATCTATTTTTGGATGTCTTAGCATTATTGTCTACTTATTACATTACATGTTTAGGAAGATTGAATTTCTCTCTTGAATATTCTAGATCAAGTAGTTTATTTGGATTTTGTTTCGATTTCCTGGTTTTCTGTGAATGAAATTTTTATTTTTCATTCTGCTCTGCTTTTCTTCAATGCTTGAGTTGGATTTTAATTCATCATTTTATTGTCAATGTTTCTGAATTTTTCAAGTTAATGGCTACATAACCACTGGTATAAAATGTAATTTTTTTTTATTCCAGTACAAATTCAGTATTTTTCTTCCAGCTCGGGGTTGTAGATAGAAACTGCTTGATATTCTTATTTAGTTAAAACAAAACATATGACAATTTTGAATGTCTTTTTTAGTGCAACATTCATTTCTTGTACAAGTGGTGTTTTTTTTTTTTTTGATGAATGATAAGTGCATGAGAAATAACAAATAAAAATATGAACTGAGTCAAGTGTATGTGCTTTGCTTTGAGAGTTTCATTTGTTTTCTTGTCTAAGAAATATAAAATGAGTCACTCAAACTCTCTGTGAAAATAATTGAATAAAATGTGAATAAATATCTTTCTATGGAATCAGAAATAGAAATGCACATTGGAAAGATAAACTTTATTTTTCAGGACCAATTAGTACACAAAATAAAAATAATAATTAAAGGTAGTTAATGAATGATAGAATTAATGAAAAAAAGGCCATTTAAAAAATGAACTGCACCAGTCAGTAAACCTTTAAACATTATTGCACATCTGTATTTTGTAAAACAAAATGTATATCAGAGCAAATTAGACAAATGCGATTTTAAAAATTACATATACAGAAAGCATAGTCCATTTTTGTAACATGCTACAAGGACACCAGTTACAAAATCTGAAAGAATTGTGGTTAGAAAAATCCATATTTTTCAGTACTCTATTTAATAAAGTAAATGCTAAACCATTGGACTAGAGAGCAAGTTATTTTGTAATAGTTGAAGTGATAAAAATTTGATAGTCAGCTGCAACACCCACTTCATTATTGTGTAGTTCTATACTAAATTTTGACAAGAAATAAATACCAGCGGTAACAAAACCAAAAATGTTTCCAATACCATCAAGCAGTATGACATTACTGTATTACAAAGCAGCTTAAATTCTTGTTAGGTTTAATGAAAAAATGACTGAATACAAAGTATAAATTTAGTAAGTACATGGGTTGAAAAATACATGTAATTCAAGTATATTTATATTGGTGGTTTACTATACGTTGTACAACATTGGTATTTCATTATGGATGGTACATTTCTAGTTTTTAATAATTATCACTTTTGTCGCTGGTTAAAATGTTCATAAAAGAAACTACCCAAGAAAATTTCAAACTGAACATCAGATAATAAATAGTATTACAACATAACAGTGATAGTAAGAATAATTCCACTAACAAAGGTTCTTATTGTTGCAAAAAAAGGATCCCACTGTTTAATCTAAATGTCCAGCATCCTTGATTTTGACGTAGCGTGATGCTAAGAAAGCTGCAATGAATGATCCAACTGTGAGGCAAAATGCAAAAATATAAAATGATTCTTCATCAAAAATATCTTGGAATGAAGGAAAATATGCTGAAAACTTTTGAGCAACTTCTTTTCCAGGATTGCCTTTAGGGAGCATCCTCAGTTTGCTGTCTTAGGACTTGTTCTCAGTTTATTAACAGATAGACCTACTTTACAAAGAGCTGAAACAAAAATATTTTGTATTTACAGGTAATAACATGAATAATAAACTCAATGAGATGTAGTTGTAGAATGAGATGTAATTTTAAGTTAGCATAAATCACAACAAATTACTGAAAAGTTCTGTTTGATTTATTATTATTAAGAACTAGTAAGTTTCTAAATTGTTTTTGTATTATCATTAGATATTTTATTAGTTAACTTTTCTTTTATTGTCTTAGCTTAACATTTGGTATTTACTATTTAAATCAAACATCTAATTTTAATTGCTTTTGTTGTTTTACAAACCAACATTCAGCCCAGATCAACTAGACTCTACAATCTTGATTTTAATAAAAGTCAAGTGACTGTGTAATTGTGTAGCAGTTTGTAATGTAAGTTACTAATAAAAGTAATTAAAAATTAAGTAGCTTAACCACAACCTCAGTGTGGGGATGGTATGGTTTAGCAGTAGACCATTAGAATGCGAGCCCAAAAGAAATTGAAATTGGAATCTGGCATCTGGATTCAAGTCAGTTGAACATCCCTGAGTCCATCCAGCACTCACATTAGGGAAAGTATAGGCTGACCACATCACTATACTAATTATACTTTGATATGCTGAAGTTACAGAAACTGGTGAACTCTAAGTCTATTTCACTCGCCCTATGGACTGTTTGGTTCAAAAAGGGAACTTTACTTAACCTCAAAGACTCAAAGCTGCCTCACAGAATCACTGTCACTAGTTATTAAAGTCTTAACAATGAGGCAACGTTTTCGCGCATTACCTAGCCTCGGCCGATTTTACGCACCTAAAAAGATAAATTACCGACTAGACTAAGAAAAAAGAAATCTAATAACTAAATTAAATAACTATAATTAAAATAATACTAGTGAGTTGATGAGCGCTAGGTTCTTCAGTTTATCAATTTCAATTGTCATTTGTGAGTTTGATATGGAGTATTGAGTATAGTTATAGATCTAGTAATCTAGTATTACTAGTATAATATATCGGCTAATATCGCATTATCGGACACTACTCTACTACTGGTACTTGTAAGAATGATGCAGGTACTGATGTACTCTTGAGTCTGATGTACAGATGTATTATTGTAGATTGGGTGTAGGCTAAGAAATCCCCCAGCCCCAACTAAAAAAAAATTATTTAATTTATTTAGATCTAGGCCTAACGGCCTAGGCTAGGCTAACGTACTATTAATTTTAATTTAACGGACGTAACGTTCTCCGGACTTAATCTAGAATTCTAGATTCTAGATCTATTCTAGACTAGATCTAGTAGTAGTTAGTTAGATCTTGATCCAGTCAATATACTATTACTGTATCTAATTATAATACTATTATATATAGGCCTATCTGTAACAGATCTACAATCTATAGTAAATAATAGAAATAGATCCTACTTTACTTTATTGTAACTTTATATTTATTTTGTGGAAACTTCCACAAAATTTCAGTGGTTTCTCTTAATACCGAAAATACCAAACTGGTAAATTAATGACATAATGCAAAATAAAATAATACAACGATCCTAAACCTCAATAATAATTTGTAGCTAATGGTAAACATCGATGAATTACTTTTTAAAAAATTCCAATCTATTCGGTAGTCTGATTATGTATGCTAGGTTACCGGGAGAAAAAGAATTTAAAGGTCTAATATTAAAATATAGTTAGTAGGCCTAGTCCTATTTTTAAAAATTAATTATTAATTCCACAGTGGTTTCCTCGGTATGTCGAGAGTATGGGATTGGGAAGGAACTCTCCGCTGGTTACTGACGAATAAATAAAAATACTGTTTAGAAAAATACAAGGCTACAATAATGTATAATGTAAACATTTTATTAAGATGTAATTTAGTAGTACTCGCTTCCATATGTCCTACAAATATTTTTAAACATTAAGAAAAAATAGGTGCGCAACTATTTTGTTTTTAAAAGTTGTTCTTCGGGTAACTAGTAATACCGCTGAAAAAAATGTAAAAGTTTACGGGAAAAAAGTAGCTGTTTGATAACTTACCAGATTAGAGAGTCGATGTCTGAAGTAAAAGAAATATTCTAGCCTAATAATTTAATTTAATGTTTTACATGTGATGTGCTTCAAACGTTGAACAATAGATATTTATTTGTTGATCTAATCACTAGTTCTTGTGACCCGCAAGTTCATCTTTCACCAGTGACATGTTACCTAAAGATGTAAGAAATTATAAGTTTAAAACTACAATAAATTTTATTTATACCCTAAAATAAATTAAAACTTTTAACTTTTCTTTTAGTTTTAAGTTTAATGTTTAATATAAATAGGGGCCTAATAAATATAAATATATTATTATTATTATAAATTATATATTAAGTTTAAGTCGTGTAAAAAGTTAGGGCCTACTCTTACTCTACTACTACTACTACTACTGTAGATCTAGAGAATAATCTAGATTCTATCTAGATCTATATCTACTACATATTTAACATTAGTTAGTAGTTAGATCTCTCTAACTCTAGATTGAGAGATCTAGAAGTAGAATGATCATCATTCATCATGGTCATGACTATTCAATATTCATGACTAATTCAACTAACTGCCAACTGGACTGTTCTAAAATCTAAAGATTCTAACTGATCAAGTCTAGGGTAATCTCACGATATAGCGTGGGAAATTATCTGGTAAACTGGTAATCATAATGTTTGTTAAGTTTCAGTAGCATTTGTAGCTTATTTGACTGTTGAAATAAAAATAAAGTCAAGTGCATCAAATTAATTTTTAACTTAATTTAAAGTGTAATTGACAGAAAAATAGCAACAATTAGGCCCTAGTTATTTAAATATTATTAATAAAGTTGTGTGTAGGAATTAATGTTTTTTAAAGAAACGCAGAAAAAAAAACTTTCAGAAGATTTGCGACAACTAGATCTAGATGTAGTAAAATTAAATAGGACAATTAAATTTACTAAAGTTAAAAAGTAGTAAGTAGAATTAGAACAAAAGAATTAGCAAAACAGTATTTAAAATGCAACTAAAATCAATCCATGCACATTTTTAAACATTATGTATTAAAAATAATATGGTGGCAAATAAATGATGGTTTACAGTATTTCCTGTGGTTTCCGGAATAGCTCAATAGACTACGCTTTTGTTACTGCTGTACGATTCGGGATAAATAACCGACGCTATATCGTGATTTTACCAAATCTAGATCTAATCACTAGAAATCTAGTAAAAATATTGGAGTATTTGAGTAAACTTTTACTTCAGTAAAAGCAAAGTAACCCTAGCCTAACATTACTCAGACTCTTGTGGTTAATCACTAACCAGTCCAGTGTAACTCTAAGACACTAGATCTAGTACTAGATCAGATAGTACACACTAACTAAGCTGAGCTTCTAATAGTAAAAACCTTTGTGATTGTTATTCATCCAAATAAAACTAACAGAAATAAAAGCATGCTTTTATTAAATATGCCTAGTCTTACTAATTATATTCTTTATAACTCAAAACCCTAGCTATTACTTAAATGATCTGCTGTCAGTAAATAAATTTTTTCTCTTTATAGTCACGACAAGCTCTACAGTACATGTTATACAATGTTGTGTATGCCACAAAATTTTCACCATGTGGACGTTACCTTGCAGCTGCAAACAAGTTCGGTGATGTTGCTATATTTAGGTAAAAATACTGTTTCTGTATTTAACTATCTGATATGGATCTTGATATGTAAAAATTTTTACTTAACATTATGGGGTCAAATCTTTTCTGTGATTTTTGCCTTTGATATATTCAATATATTGTATATATATTGTGTATATATATTGCGCATATATGTATATGCTTATATTTTTAAAAAATTAAACCAAAACCATTGGGATTAAATGTTTTAAACTTAATTGTTTCAGTTTGAGTGCAGCCTTGTCACCAGATGTATGTGATGAAGCAAAATGTCCCATATTCTCATTTAATGGTAGATGATAAACTTAAGATTTACTTTAGGCATATTACCAATTATTTAGGCCTCTAGTAAAAATATTTTTTTAGTTTCTGATGCTAGTTGTACAATAGAGTATCATAGAAAATAGTTGTTTTCTTTCTGTCTGTATCATTGATAGATTCCATGTTTAAAGTAAATTAAAGTCCAGGTTCAAGCCTTATGGTCCAAGGGGGCAGTTGAAGTAGAGTTCACCTATTTCATTGACCTTGGTATATTGAGTGATAATGATAGATTCCATTTTTAAGTAGTAGTAATTCTATAAATCTAGCAAGGCAACAACTTGTCATAAATGTAGAATAGGTTGTGATGCTTAAAAAAATAACTTGAAATTACTTATATTTTTTCACAGCGTTTAAACTTTAATTTTTTATTTTGTTGTTTCATTTCCTAGTTTGTAAACATGGTGGGATTTACTGTCTCACAAGCACAGATACTTTCTTAATATGGTGAGTATATATATGTTCAAAGCACTAAATAACAATTAAATAGTTATTTTATTTAAAAGTTTTAATTCAGAATATGATCAGAAAATGAGTTTACTATTTGTTTTACTGCTAATACAGTCCATAATTATTTTTTTTGTAGTGCTGGAGAAGGGGACATCCAGGCTTACAAATGGTCTGATATCATCGCAAAGGTGAGTCCATGAAATATTATAGTCTAACTTTAATTTAACCTTCAAGAAAGTTATAAAAAAGCTTGAAAAAAAATCTTAACACTATGATGTTTATCTGTTTCTTTTTAATGTAATTAAATTGAGCGTAAAAAAAGAATATTGTTTAAATTTCTGTCTTAACTTTCAGAACCCTAAAATCACCTGGTCACTTTCCATTCCACAAAAGTAAGTAAAGAACAAAAAATAGTAATAAAAAATTAAAGATAAAATGTCAAAATATTAATAAAAAATAGTAAGCAGTAGATTAAGAAAGAATTAGTACGTAATTGAATAGAAATAACCATTCATATTTAAAATCTTAAATGTTTTTTTTTTTTAGAGGTGTGTTTACACATCCTGAGGTGAATTCGTGTGTCATTCACTCTGACAGTGTAAGTTTACATTTTTATGTTACAGTTACACGCTCTTGGCCTGAAAAGTTGTAAAAAAACTTTCTCTGGCTTAGTACTTGTTAATACTTTAGCAGTTCTACTAGCGTTGATTTTTTTGGAAATTAAAAAAAATCAGCTGAGTTGTTGAAAATCTTTTAAGAAAGAATTATATGATTTCTTAACTTTGCAATAAAAACATTTCTATGAATGTAGCTTTGCTTTTATGAAATCTAGCCACCAACTTACATGTTGTTATCTTGTAATAAAAATAAGTATATGATCAGTGTTAAGCTGTTCTGATGTTTTCTTTGATAAAAAATTATCTGTTTTACCATTGGACATGTGAATATGTACTTTGAGAATTTGTATCCATGTTTTCTACAGAGTAGCTCCACCTTGTATGCAGGGTCAGGGGATAATTTGATCCATGCATGGGATATTGAAAGTGGAACCTACCTGGTAACCTTCTTTAACAACTTGGATCAGTTGTGATGTGACCAATTAATTTTTTTTTTTAAATTATCATTTACTTCATGAACAGTGAAACATTCTTGTATTAAAATTTTATTTTGTTTAGTTTTATCAGCTGTAGGAAGCCTGTTTTGTTTTCATTCTTAGGATGCTCTCAGTGGACACAGCAGCTACATACACTCAGTCAAAGTGAAAGATGATGGGAGGGGGCTGATATCTGCATCAGAAGATGGCTCTGCCATTCTTTGGGGTAAGCTTTGTTTAGAGCTATTGTATATCTGAACTCGTTTTCTTTTAAATGCTGTATATTTGACACTTCTTGGCGTTTGAGTAGCTTATACTAAGGCTTAATTTTAGTGAATTTTTAAATTTATTTTATTTTCACCTTTCAAACTGACATTTTCCTGGCCACCTGCTTGCTTTTATTTTGTATGCAACCATAAAAAAATTTTCTTCTGTTTTGGCCTCCTATCCCAGATATCAGAAAGCGAGAAGCAACAAATATAATCAAGCCTTATGAAAATGACATGTGTGCACGACCACACATGGGCAAGTGGCTGCAGTGTTTGACTCTGGATGAGGAAAATTACTGGCTTGTAAGTCTGGTTAAAATATTGTGTATGTTTTGGTACCAGTTTTCAACTGTGGCCTTACTTGTTTAATGGGGATTGACAATAATAGTAAAAAACAACTAATACACTGTCTAGTCAGAAAATGGCCTTTTCTAAAAATAGGGATGTGAGAATGTTATTAGTAATATGATAACTTATGTTCTGGAAGAGTTCATTGTTAGGTGATAGCTGAAAAAATATTTAAAAAATCATGGGGGTGTTATACTAGTGTTATAATAATGTCACAATTATGTAATAAGTGCTATTGAATAAGAAATAGTGCTATAGAATAAGAAATAGTTCTTTAGAAATAGTGCTATAGAATAAGAAATAGTGCTTTAGAAATAGTGCTATAGAATAACATAGTGCTATAGAATAACAAATAGTGCTTTAGAAATAGTGCTATAGAATAAGAAATAGTGCTTTAGAAATAGTGCTATAGGATAAGAAATAGTGCTTTAGAAATAGTGCTATAGAATAAGAAATAGTGCTTTAGAAATAGTGCTATAGAATAAGAAATAGTGCTATAGAAACAGAAATGCTACAGAATGAGAAAAAGTGCTATAGAATTTGTTTTGTTGATGATTTAGTTGCTTGGTGGAGGACCAACACTTACTGCTTGGCATCTGAAAACCTTGACCCCTACAGCGACCTTTGAAACTCCTGGTGTTGCACAGAATGTAGCTATGTTCTATGAAGATAAGGTTTGTTTATGCTTTTTGTTTTCCTACTGCTAGAGACTGGCACATAGTCAGTTTTTTTACACAAATTTTGTCAGTGTATTTTTTTTTAAAAGTATAAAATAAAAATTTGAAATTTAGACAATAGATAAAGGCATTTCTTAATCCTTAATATCAGTATTTGAGAAAACAACTGCATTAATCAGAAAAAAAGTCTGTAAATTAAATTCAATTTACCCAATATAAAATGTTTTTTTGCAGATATTTTCAGCGGGGACCAGCAATGTGTTCAATCATTGGTCCATCACAGGGGAACATAAAATGGCTGTACCAGTCAGCCCCACATCTGTGTATAGCATTGATATCAACACAAATAGCAAATCAAACAAGGTGAGATTGACCTCCCCTTGTTCTTGTTGTAATATTAAAATTTAATTTGTTTTACTGTTCCACTGATTTCTTTTAAGTTATTTATGACTAGGTTAAGTTGATAATAATTCTTGTTCTTGTTGCTTTGCTGTTCTACTAATTATTTGTTTTAAGTTATTTATGACTTTGTTAAGTTGATGTAATTCTTAATTTTCTTTAAAAATTATTTTCAGGTTCTTACAGTAGCTGGCAGCAGTGAAAAAATTGACGTCTGCACAAATTTTGGCTATTGTGCATTTTCCCTGTCATTTATGCCCCCTGCTTCTTGATAGTTCTGTGTTCATATTCACCTCATTGTAATGATAATGTTCATGTTTTCTTCAATAAAATTTCATGTCATTAGCAGTGGTGCATGGCTGATTTTAATTTTGCACTGTCTTTTGTCTAGTTTTTATTTTATAATTTGTCTCTAACTTAGCTTTTAGATATTGTGGGTTTTTGTAATGTAACAGTCAATCAGAAATTGTTTCAGATTTTATTAACATGGCAACACTTCATAAGTATTTGATTTTAAAAATACATACAATTTTCGTTTTAAAAAAATGGACATTAAATATATTAGCAAATAAAGTATTCAGTATGTTATTCAAGATTTCAAATGATCAAGCAAACACACAGCACACACAAAATCATACATTAAAAATACTTAAACTTTTCACCCAGTATAGTATTGACTTATTTGACTTAGTACTCTTTGCTCCGTGTGGAACATAGGGCCTCCACCATAAAGTTAGTACAGATGTCCCCTAACATTCCCCTATCTTTATATATCCCATTATCTGTAACTCCTACCTTTAATACATGTCACTTCCTTCCCACTTTTTACTATCTGGCATTTCTGTGTACAAAACTAAACAATCACAAAAAGGGACGCTACTCTAATATTGACTAATCCATCTAACCTAATTAAAACACTCAGCTTATGTCCCTTGATGAAATATTTTTTAAGTATAAAAATCAGATCATTAATAGTAGTAACAGTTCTTGCTACGTCCAAAAACAGACAGGAGGTATGAATTCATGAACATATCACAGGGGTCAACATCGGCCAATCTTTTTTGATCTTGAAAACCTGGGAGCAGGGGACCGTAAACATTCTTGATGACGTTAATAATCCCTGGAATGTTGTCGTGTCTCTTAGCCCAGTGGGGTCGGAGTTTCTCGTCCTTGAACTTTTCAACAAACTGTCGAATGAAAAATGTCAATTTTAAGTTGATTAATTCATTCCCTCATTATTCAAATTGTCTTAGAAATCATGTAAACAATTTAAAACACAGTCTGCTAGATGTGATCAGTGTTTCTTCCAGACTTTTTTCTCCGGGGGGGCACTTGGAATTTTCGGGGGGGCGGTAGACTTTCTTCGGGGGGGCGGACACTGTTAAAAGTATATATTTTCTATATAAATTATATAAATTTCATTTCGTTCGGGGGGGCGGTAAAAATTTTTCGGGGGGGCTTCGCCCCCCCGAAGAGATGCCTGGAAGAAACTCTGGATGTGATTAAGTGTTTGGTTTTGCAGTATCCAAACTAAGTTAATGGTTTGGCTAAAATGCTGATAGTAATAGCTACAATTCTGGGCAAAGAGTTGTTTCATTTTAACTATTTTGATTTGTACTGGTCATAGGAATATGAAATTATTAAAAATCTACATATCTAATAATTAAATTAAAACAGCTCCCAACTTAACTGATTAATTAGTCATTAAATTAGAACCACTTCACTAATTAATTAATCATTCAATTAAAACCACTTCACTAATTAATCATTCAATTAAAAGCAACTCACAGCTTCAGCAGCTGGATAGAAGCCATACTGGGCTGGTGGAGCAAGGAAATCTATCACCAAAGTTTTCCCAGAGTCGTCGGCCATGGTTATCTCATCATTGCCCGGGCAAAGATAGCAGTTATGGTTCTTGAACCATCTTGGGAGTAAGGCGTTCATGGGCGTGGAGGCGTTCTGCTTGATTTGTTTTTCTGTTGTGTTCACCATGAACTGTGGAGTCATAAGACATTTTGATTTATACACAAAAACTATTTCTTAACTTGGTTCTGGATGAGTGATATTTTATACATCCTCGTACTTAAGGTGATCAGCTTTCTGTGAGTTCTATACTCTATAGTCCATCTAAGTTCATACAGTACTAGAAACACACTGATTGTTACATAAAGGTTCAAACTCTTACGTAGATGGCCCAAAGCTAATATGAGTTATATCAATTCAAGTTCTATTCACATGCATAGTCCAGTGAATCTCATACCAGTTGTAAACACGTTGATAGACCAAAGTGAAACAAGTTCTAATCTAGATATTTACATTGATAACCCAAAGCTCATACAAGTTGTAGATACTCACTTTGATAATCCAAGCTGATACAAGTTTTATACACAATGATAGCCTAAAGGTCATACAAGTTCTAGATACCCACATACTTGTATTGACAAACCAAGCTCAAACAAGTTCTAGATACTTACATGCATAGCTCAAAGGTCATACAAGTTCTAGATACATTAATAAGGAAAGCTGATACAAGTTTTATACACAATGATAGCCCAAGAGTCATACAAGTTCTAGATACTTACATTGATAACCCAAAGCTCATACAAGTTCTAGATACTTACATTGATAACCAAAAGGTCATACAAGTTCTAGATACTTACATTGATAGCCCAAAGCTCATACAAGTTCTAGATACTTACATTGATAACCAAAAGGTCATACTAGTTCTAGATACTTACATTGATACCCAAAGCTCATACACGTTATAGATACTTTATTACATTGATAGCCCAAAGCTCATACAAGTTCTAGATACTTACATTGATAACCAAAAGGTCATACAAGTTCTAGATACTTACATTGATACCCAAAGCTCATACACGTTATAGATACTTTATTACATTGATAGCCCAAAGCTCATACAAGTTCTAGATACTTACATTGATGGCTAATAGTTCATATAAGTTCTAGATACTTACATTGATAGCCCTAAGCTCATACAAGTACTAGATACTCACATTATTACACTGATAGCCCAAAGCTCATACAAGTTCTAGATACTTGAATTATTACACTGACAGTCTAAAGCTAAAGCTCATACAAGTACTAGCTACTTACATTGATGGCCCTGAACGGCCTGTCAAACTGAGAGTCAATGTTGAGCATGAAGGCAGCGCTGGTCTCTACCCCTGTCAGAGGGGGGAGGATGATGGGGAAGGCGTGGACCAGGTACTGGTAGAGGACGGCTGGTACTTTCCTGGCCAGCTCTACTGACCCCTGCACAACATATGATGGTTAACAGTGTTTCTTTCAGATATTTATGTACGGGGATGGGGCACTCGAAACTTGGATGGGGGGGGGGGGGGCGCGCCGGACTTACATTTCCGGGGGTCGGAATCAGATTTCCGGGAGGGGGTGCGGACACTGGTTAAAGTATATATTTTTTTTATAAAAATTCTATTTCAATCAATTCCTGAAAGAAACTCTGATGGCAAACATTGATCTGTAGCATTTGTACAGGCTACAACTATGATGCCATTTATGGACTATCATAGAGTTAAAAAACAGTTGGATTAGAGATAATTAGCCACAGCGTGGGGGGGGGGGGGGGGCTTGGGTAAGGGGTCATCTAAAAATGACGTCTCAGTCCTTTTAATTGTAATTTAAAGTGGTCATTATACTTTATATTAACCGAGCTCAGTAGATATTATATATATTATATAGATATTATTATAGTATATTAATCAATTTCTAATACAATTTAAAAAAAACAGCGTTCAAAACATAAAATAATTGCTAAAATTAAGATTGTTAAATTGCTTTTTTAAAAATACAATATGACGTCACACTTTCTGACCCCCCCCCCCCCCTCCTCCTTACGCGTAGACGTGTGATATCATCACACCATAGACCCGCCTATGATTGTAACACAAATCATCCAACTCACTTTATTGTCCTATCACCATCAGTAGGCCAACACAAGCTTTACCTTGGGTGCACTGCCCCCCCCCCCCTCCCCCGCCTGTCTATGACTGTAACACAAATTCATCCCGTCCTATCACCATCAGTAGGCCAACACAAGCTTTACCTTGGGTGCACTGCCCCCCCCCCCCCCCTCACCCGCCTGTCTATGACTGTAACACAAATTCATCCCGTCCTATCACCAACAATATGGCTACACCAACACCACAAGCCTTACCTTAGCTTTCAACAGCCCAGGTGCACTGCCGCCTGCCAGAGATCCGTTACTGGGCAGGTAGATGGAGCCTGTCAGATTCTTGCCAGCCAGTTCAGCTTCACTCACCGGATTGATGGTTCTATAGAACGTGAGAGACATTTTGATTTATTTGAATGTTATATAGAACGTGGAGGACATTTTGATTTATTTGAATGTTATATAGAACATGGAGGACATTTTGATTTATTTCAATGTTCCATAAAACATGGAGGACATTTTGATTTATTTGAATGTTATATAGAACATGGAGGACATTTTGATTTATTTCAATGTTCCATAAAACATGGAGGACATTTTGATTTATTTGAATGTTATATAGAACATGGAGGACATTTTGATTTATTTGAATGTTATATAGAACATGGAGGACATTTTGATTTATTTGAATGTTATATAGAACATGGAGGACATTTTGATTTATTTGAATGTTATATAGAACATGGAGGACATTTTGATTTATTTCAATGTGCTATAGAACGTGGAGGACATTTGGATTTATTTCAATGTGCTATAGAACGTGGAGGACATTTTGATTTATTTCAATGTGCTATAGAACGTGGAGGACATTTGGATTTATTTCAATGTGCTATAGAACGTGGAGGACATTTTGATTTATTTCAATGTGCTATAGAACGTGGAGGACATTTGGATTTATTTCAATGTGCTATAGAACATGGAGGACATTTTGATTTATTTCAATGTGCTATAGAACGTGGAGGACATTTTGATTTATTTCAATGTGCTATAGAACGTGGAGGACATTTTGATTTATTTCAATGTGCTATAGAACGTGGAGGACATTTTGATTTATTTCAATGTGCTATAGAACGTGGAGGACATTTGGATTTATTTCAATGTGCTATAGAACATGGAGGACATTTTGATTTATTTGAATGTTATATAGAACGTGGAGGACATTTGGATTTATTTCAATGTTCCATAAAACATGGAGGACATTTTGATTTATTTGAATGTTATATAGAACATGGAGGACATTTTGATTTATTTCAATGTTCCATAAAACATGGAGGACATTTTGATTTATTTGAATGTTATATAGAACATGGAGGACATTTTGATTTATTTGAATGTTATATAGAACATGGAGGACATTTTGATTTATTTGAATGTTATATAGAACATGGAGGACATTTTGATTTATTTGAATGTTCTATAGAACATGATTTTTTTTAAGCGCAGATGTTCTATAAACCACTAAGAAAGTCTACCGCACACCTCTCTCCCCCCCCCGAACCAAATGGAAAATTATATTAAAAAATAAACCGGTAGTGATCTCCCCTAAACTTTCTCGAATATTCTTATATAAAACAACAGGGGATGGTAACTGGAGATATAGTTATGATTTTTAATCCATTTTAAATACTTAAACTTTTAAAAATAGAATAGAATCTCATAAAAAAAACATTGCGCACCAAGCAAACGCCGAATAAAAACGCGTATAATAGTGCGCAATATTATTAGTACTTTAAAATTTTACATTAGTTTTTTGAGAAATCGGAAGTAGCGTAAATTACTACTTCCAGTCAACGGAAATTACTCAAAATTTAACAGAAGGTAGAGAATTAGATTTTTTACTTACATGTGAAATTTCATTTATCTATCTGAAATAGTACTCAAGTTATAGGCTTTTGAAAAATTCAAAGTAGGAAAAGTACCACTTCCGGTTATCGGAAATCGCTCAAAAGTTGATACGGATCTACGATTTTGATAAAATACTTATATATGAAATTTCATCAACCTAGCTGTAACGGTACTCAAGTTATCGTGTTTACACACGGACAGACACACACACAGACAGACACACACACACACAGACATACGGACAAGATTGCAAAATTATGTTTTTCCGTATCAGTGAGGTGTAAAACGTCGAGATTTGTAAAAATCTCGATTTTTTTTTTTTGCACGATTACAATACTTTCTCTATACTACGTATATACGAGAAAGTAAAAACAAATACTTTTACCACCGTCCGCCACCCCCAGAATTTTTTTTTAAAGGACGAACTCTTTTTCTTAAGATGCTGTTTATTAAAAATACGATTTTTAAAAGATTTTAAATAATGATATAGAATCTACTACATATTAAATTATTAAGTCAACCTTTATAAATCTTCGTTGAAAATGCTTTAAAATTTAAAAAAAAAATGGTGGGCGCGAAAAAATAAATTGTCTTTTTGGCAACTAACGAATACACCGGGCAGTGAGCGGATGGGTTGCCATGGTGACACTTTGTGACTCACCTGACCCACAGGATATCTTTCCCAGCATTCCATGTTTCCGGCGCCTTGTTGTTCTTGATGTAGTACTCTTCTTCCTCCGGAGATAAATTGTTGAACGGGAACCAGGAGATCTCGTTCATGAAGTTGCCACTGATCTGTTCTTTCAGCGCGGTTTGGTTGTAGAAGAGATCTTTCAGTGGCACGAACGTGTTGACCACTTTGACAATCCTTGCTGGGTGTACCTGGCCACATAGTGCAACAAGTTATAAATAGTAACGTGTTTGAAGAGGATGGAGAGGAAAAAGGAAAAAGTCCATACATTTACTGGGTTAATTTCAATTACATGAAATTTATTCCTTTCGAACCTGATGATTATTTTCTTCTTCTTTGTTCTTAATTTTAGTGTTGGAAGGGATTCCCTACAACACAATTAAGTATACGTGTCAACTGGTTATGCGCCATTTAGGCCGTTGACTCCGATTTCAGCCTGCCACCTGATGATTAATATGGCAGTTTTTGTGACCCCGACGTATGAGATGGTTTGGTCAGTTTATGCCTAGCCGCCTGTACTTTCCATAACGTGAGTTATGTAACCATCAGAGTTGGGTGGACTTACAGACGTCATACAGACGCGAGCCCGAGATCCGAACTCGAGACTTACGGGCTAGCAGCTGAGCGCTCTGCCACCCGATCACACCGTTCCATAATTTTTGACAAACTTTTGTAAAATTTCTGATTAAAACTGCATTTAAGGTCTTGATAAAGGAGGGTTATTTTAACAAACACTAAAGTATTCCTACAAACTTGCCGAATTTGTGAAAATAATCAAAAATATATGTTAGTCACTTTTATTGTTATGTTGTACATTTAATGTTGATAGTACTCACTTTAATTGTTATATCGTACATGATTCCGAACATGCCCAAATTGCAAATGGCCGCCTTCATGATCTGAGGGTGCTTCTCTATCGTGAATCTGCGGAGACGCCCCTGGGAGTCGATCAGTCGCATCTCAACCACAAAGCTGCTGTAGGTGGGTTCGTCATAGGTGGAGCCCTGTCAACATAACCGGAAATAATCAGTAGGGGGGGGGTGAGCAAACGACATGCGCGTGAAGGATCAACAATAGGTGACGTGACACACAAAAGTCATGTTCTACTGGCGTGACAGAACCTCCAACTGACGTGACACATATGTTCCAATGACGTGACACACATGTTCAACGGACGTGACACACAACCTCCCTCTGACATGACACACACGTTCAACTGACGTGACACACATTCTGCCACTAACGTGACTCCGTCCTCACTAACGTGACACCCATCCTCCACTAACGTGACACCCATCTTCCACTAACATGACACACAACCTTCCACTGACGTGACACATGTTCAACTGACGTAACACACACGTTCAACTGACGTGACACCCCCCCCCCACTGACGTGACACACAACATCCCACTGACGTGACACACATCCTCCACTAACGTGACACACATCCTCCACTGACGTGACACACATCCTCCACTAATGTGACACCCAACCTCCCACTAACGTGACACTCCTCCTCCCACTGACGTGACACCCCTCCTACCTCTAACGTGACACAACTTACGTGAGTGCTGGCAGCCACCATGCCACCCAGCGTCTCCTGATCGTTGAGGGGCTGGGCTAGCACGGTCACGTTGTTCTTGATCATGAACTCGTTCATCTCCACCTCGTACACACCCGTCATGGCGGTCAAGGTCTTGAACTTCCGCTCAGCAGTCTGGGAACATGGGCACAATCGTTACAGTTCATGGGAAACAGGTGAACTCTACTTCATCTCCTCTACCCAAAAAAAAAATCGTATCGTAACCACTTGAATAAAAAAAAAAAACACCTCTTATTTTAATAAAGCCAAAAATGCGTAACTCATTATGGTGTATACTGTTATTATTTAAAGAAAACAATGTACGTATTTCAATGTCAAAGTTTTTAAAAAATATATAATTCAACTATTAATATATAATTATGAGTGGAAGCAGCTCAACCTTGGGCGTTAACGATACAGGGATTAGAGTTTCTTTCGAGCATTTCTTCAGGGGGTGCGCCCCCCCCCCCCCCGAAAAAAAACTACGACTACCGCCCCTACTCTCCGATCGGAATATAAGTTTTATATACAAAATATATACTTTAACCAGTGTCCGCTCCCCTCCTGAAAATTTAAGACCACAGCAAGTTTCAAGTGCCCCCCCCCCCCTCTCCCTGAGAAAAAGGCCTGAAAGAAACACTGACAAGGATGTACTGATAGCTGGTAGAGGAAACAACTTACAGGTATTGGGTCGTGTACGTATTACATATCATCAGGGGGGGGGGGGCGGGGGGACGACATATGTCCCCAGGCGCCGACCTTAGGGGCGCCAAAATGGGTTGGAAAAACAAATTGAAAGTTTGAGGGGGTGGGGGTGCAAATTGAAGTTTGAGGGGGGGGGGGGTGCAAATCGAAAGTTTGGGGGGGGGGGGGTGCAAATTGAAAGTTTGAGGGAGGGGAGCAAATCAAAAGTTTGTCCCCTGGCGCCGGGAAGGGTCGCTAAGCCTCTGCATATCATTTAATATTTTTACACCCCGTACTCCAAAATATAAAAAAAAATATAATGATATATTTCCTTAGACCACCCTAGGTCAGAATGATCAAATCATTTTACAGTGTGAAGAAAAACAAAATTAAAAAAACAAGAACCCGGAAGTGTCGTTCACTTTTGGCACTTTCACAGAGTCGCGATGACCCGGATGTTCGATTCAAGTAAATTTACACAACAATGTAGCAGTACGTGATTTAGCTGGGTTGAAAAAAAAGTGCCGAGTCACACGGATACAAATATGAACGGGGTAAGATTGGGTCACATTGGGTCATAAATTGACATTGCATGCAGAGGTGTATATGAGGGGTGGGCTTTCGATTTCTGTCAAGAGACGCAATCCTTAAAGTTGGCGAATTTCGATTTCTAAGTACGCAAGTCTTAAAGTGGGCAATTTTCGATTTCTGACAAGGGACGCAAGTCTTAATGTGGGCAATTTTGGATTTCTGACAAGGGACACAAGTCTTAAAGTGGGCCCCTTCGATAGTTTTTTTTTTGTTTTCCTTGAAAGAGCTTCGAATCAATTGGTCGGTGAGGACATTGTACTAGCCATACCACACGATCTAGCTGTCATTTGGTCGGACCAATCATTGCGCGACTCTAAGAAAGGGAGGGATATTTGTTTTCAAAGTCAAAATATGTTAAGTACACAAAAGTTGCATCTTTTTATGTAGCATGGGGCATGGGTGGGTGAATTTATCCTGGTTTTTGTGTTATTTATAAAAATATGCACAATTCTATATGAGTCGCCGAGTTGAAATCTAGAATCCTAACTGCGAGTCGGAGATGTATTGTTCATACGGCATGCAGTAGCAGTTATTCGGTCGTCATGGTTGTTAATTTGGGGGGGGGGGGGGGGTGTTGCTGTGGAGTGCTGTGGTAGACGTGCTGGCGATGGGGGTGCTGGAGTGGGGGTGCTGTAGGGTGTAACTTAAGAGACGACAAACACAAGTAATGTGAACCGTAATGTCAGGCCAGGTAAGCCGCAGACCGGATGTGAACCCAACGAACGAGACCACGCAGACCGGATGTGAACCCAATAAGTGTCGCCAGGTTTACCTCGGGTATCACATGCCACTGTGGCTATCTTTGATTAGAGGTCACGTGCAGCTCTTCCCTGTGTTCCGTGTGAGGGGGGGGGGGGGAGGGGGGGGGGGGGTTAGGTGGCGGTTGAAAGGTGGTTTGTGACGTAAATGGAGGTTATACTAAAATACGTATATATATATTTTTACACGTTTTTACGATGTTGATTATTGTATAATTAAGTAAGAAGTAGGGACTTTAGCTTCACTTTATACCCAGCAGTGTTTCCTCGAGGGGGGGGGGGGGAAGGGAAGCTTCCCCTCCACCCCTCACCCCCTCGGGTAATTGAGAAAGAAATCCGAAAGAAACACTTGTAACAGATGGCCGTGGATTTGAAGCTACAGCTCTGTATCAAGAACAGGTTAGGATTGGAATTTAAGTTATGTTAGGGTTTTTGCATCTTGTAAACAGTTTAAGGGGGTTGAATTTCGTTTGAGAAAAGAATAGAGATCGTTTGGCGGGGGGAAGGGGGCGCTTGGAGCGGACCGTCCCCCCCCCCCCCCCAAGATTTGCCACTGCAGCGTTTCTTTCAAACTTTTTTCTCCGGGGCGTGGGGTGGGGGGCACTTGATATTTTCAGGGGGAGGGACTACATTTTCCGGGGGCGGGGATATATTTTCTATATAAAATATAAATTGCATTTAGTTCGGGGGGTGGGGGGCGGGGGGGGGGGGGAACTAAGAAAATTGGTGGATGGGCGCTTTTTCGCCCGTGAGGCGCAAATTCGATAGTTCGCCCAGGGCGCCGTAATGAGTCGCTGCCCCCTCTGCCGTTATCCCCACCCGCTCGTACGGCTAGTGTCGGCCGGAAGAGTTATTTTATCTAAACCACCGGTCACCCTAATCCTTACAGTTAAATAAAAGCACATTCACAAGCAGAGCCAGGTAATTTTCAGAAGAAGTCACGTGATAACCTACCTCTGGGTTGATCCTCATCCAGACGCCCTCGTGGCTCCTCAGGTCCCTGACGTCCATCATGATGTTGCCCTCGTCCACGTACAGGGGGGAGCGGCTGTGCCCGGCCCCCGTGGCGCGGACCCGCATCCCAGCGCTCGTGCCGCGAAGATGACCCGACGAACCTGTGGACGCAGGGGATTGTGGGTGAGGGGGTGGGGGGAATCCTTGAAATAAACAACTGTACTTAACCCCAAGGTGTCACCCTCTCTCATATATACCTACAGGTATCATATACCTTCCATAGCGTAGCATACTTCCCATATTGGATTCAGGTTTTACCTACCTCACGGTACGTATGTTTCCCCCACATTTCACATATATACACGTGTAGCATACTTCCCATACATATTCTAACAGGCGTCATCTGCCTCCTATGTACACACTGTTGTCACCTACCCCCCCCCCCCCCCTCCCACCACACACATACACACAGGGGTCACCTACCCAACCTCTACCCCCTATATACACATTTGTCACCAGCCCCCCCCCCCCCCCATCCACACACGTATCACCTACCTCCCATATAGTCTTAGGCTTGAGCAGAAGAGCTGGTGTATGTTGGTGTGTTACCTACCTCCCACACACACATAGCCGTCTCCTCCACCCCCCCCCCCCCCACATAACCGTCACCTCCCCCCCCCCCCACATAACCGTCACCTCCCCCCCCCCCACATAACCGTCACCTCCCCCCCCCCCCCCCCCACAGACGTCACCTCCCCCCCCCCACACACAGACGTCACCTCCCCCCCCCCCCCCACACACAGACGTCACCTCCAATCTTCCCACTCCCTCACACACACAGACTTCACCTACCCCCCTATCCTCACACCACACAGACGTCACATACCCCCCCTACCCTCACACAAAGAGAATCACCTACCCCCCTCCCTCCCCCACACACGTTTCACCTACCTCCCATATAGTCTTAGGCTTGACGTAGAACAACTGGTCTATGTTGATGGTGTTACCTAGCCCCCCCCCACACCCTACCCTCACCCACACAGACGTCATCTACCCCCCCCCACCCTCACACACACAGCTGTCACCTACCTCCCATATAGTCTTAGGGCTTGACGTAGAACAACTGATCTATGTTGATGGTGTTGTCCCAGTTGTGGAACTGATAGATCTCAACCTTGGGCGATGAGCCGAGGTGCATCCGGAGGATTGAGAGGAGGATTCTCATGCGGAGGTACACCTCTGGAGGAGATATAGGAGAGACGGGTGAGCGATGGAGGGGAGTATCCTCATGCGGAGGATGGAGAAGAGTATCCTCATGCGGAGGTACACCTCTGGAGGAGAAATAGGAGAGGTGAGCGATGGAGAGGAGGATCCTCATGCGGAGGTACACCTCTGGAGGAAAAAATAGGAGAGGTGAGCGATGGAGAGGAGTATCCTCATGCGGAGGTACACCTCTGGAGGAGAAATAGGAGAGACGGGTGAGCGATGGAGAAGAGTATCCTCATGCGGAGGTACACCTCTGGAGGAGAAATAGGAGAGACGGATGAGCAGCTAGAGGCTGCTGTAAGGAGGCTGACACCATCTTCTTCTTCTTCGTTCTTTATTGCATTACCTCGAACACAATTAAGTATAAAGTGTCTATACATGCGCCATGTGACATGTTAAATTCAGCCTGCTTTTCTTTCTGGATTTGCCACACCGTGGCCGTTGAGGCTGGGTTTCTTTCAGACATTTTTCTTCGGGGGGGGGGGTACACAATATATGGAGGCATGGGGATGAACACTGGTTAAAGCACATTGTATTTATTTTACATCTAAATCATTTTTCCCTATTTAATCAAGGGGCGGGTGGTTTGGACGAGCTTAAGGGAGGGGAGAGGGGGGAGTGCACCCCGACAGATGCCTGAAAGAAATTCCGATTGAGTGTTGGAATCGGGAGGTTCGTACTAAAAAACTGTGAAGATAAAATACTGGTTTTCTTAGCTTTAAAGAGCCTAAAATAAATAAAGGTCTTACGCTGGCTCCTGACCGTCTCATCCACGGCTCTCACGTTACGGCTCAAGGGCCCCATGATTTCCTCCACAATAGGGGACCGTTTGAAGACTTTATGCACCGCTGAGGAAGTAAGGAAAACAATATAATCTATTAGGAAGCGTTTCATCCAGATCTATCTTTGCAAGAAAGTAGGAGATAAAAAAAACAACAGAGGAATAAAACAAGACCGGGCGTTTCATTCAAATCTTTCTTCTGTTTCTGTTTCTATTTAATTTTTTTTTTCAATTTAGTAATTTGATTAAAAAAAAGAAAATATTCGATCCAAAGGGAGAGAATTAGCGAAGTTTTGAGTTATCTTTCCTTACCTGTCGCTGGTTCATCACCAAGGGGGACAAATGTGTCGGCAAGATCTGGGAAGATTAAAAGCAATCATTAAAAAAATATTATTAGACAAGTGCCGGACTACTAAATTTATTATTCCTGGAAGAGCTCTTAACCAGCCTCATAAAAATGATGTCAGACGTAGTAATGTTGGCAGGAGTGGACTGGCGGTGTCCAAAAGGCTCGGGAAATTCTAAAAAGGGCCCCCCAGCAACCTTAGATTAAATTTTTTTCACTCTTCATATTTTTTTTCTACATCAAAGTCTAGATTTTACACCGTGGCATGACGAAATGGTAAAATACCAACAATTTAAAAACAATTACAATCAGCTCCTGTGGGCTCACCGGGATTTTTGAATTGGCCCTTAAGGCCGGTGGACCAGTCCACGAGTCCAACCTTCAATGTTGGTTAAAACCGCGTCTCATTTCACAGTCAAGATTATTATTATAGTATTATATAAAACTAAGAGGGTAAATTGCGGAGTATATTTGTGTTATGTGCACAATCTTCAATCGTAATGTGAAAACATTAAAAAGTAATTGTAACATCTCCAAATATTCTATCATCGGGGTGATGTATTTTTCAAGATTGTACAATTTTGTGTAGATATAGTGAGTTGTCTACGCTCCATGGGTGTGGTCCATCTTCTGACGTCACGATGGCGCGTCCTTGTTTGTTTATTTTTTGTAATGTCTAACGTCTCATCAAATGCGTGCTTGTAATTTTTATTTATTTAAAAAAAATATATTTTTTCTTTTTTGCCTTTTAAATTAGTACGAATAATACATTACATTTTGGTGCAGTGGCGTGGCGAGGTCGGGTGTCACCCGGTGCGGCACTTAATGGTGTCACCCCCCAGAGGCATAGCGACCCTTCTCGGGGACAAACCTTCAAATTTTCAATTTGCACCCCCCCCCCTCAAACTTTCGATTTGCACCCCCCCTCAAGTTTTTCTCTATATATATTGCTATTTTTTGCCTTGGTGTCACCCCCCCCCCCCCCTAAATGGTGTCACCCGGTGCGGTCCGCACCCCCCGCCCCCCCCCCTCGCTACGCCTCTGTTTTGGTGTTATATTCTTGAAATACCCACTCATAATTTTAAAGAATGTAAAAAAAAATTACCATCGTAAAAACATATTCAGAACATTTGAAGTAGGCCTATTTTATTAAGAAAAAGGAACCTTGTTGTAAACTAAGAAATATTTAATTAAAAAATACATTCATAATTAGCATAACTTACCTGGTAAACAGACCGCCCGATGACGTCATTAAATTGCAGGTAAATGAGGCACCATAGCACCAAACATTTCAAACAAGTCGTCATTTTAAATAATGAAAACTTCTAAAATTTAAAAATTTTTGAAAATCACTGCAGAGATTTTTAAACAAATTCACTCAACAATTTAAAATCACTTTTAATTGTTATTTGTTTCATCAAACTTTTAGAATTGGGTAAAATAAAAAGTGTGCTAGGCCCAATGTGAGAAACCAGCTATCGAGTTTTTAGTCAGCTGTCCAGCTTGAGTGTCCGCGAAGGTTACGTCTGGCTATTTATAGCTATCCGTCACCCGGATGTTGACGACACTGCGAAACTACCCTCAAACGTTGGATTACTGTCGAGAATCCGGATAAAACATGGCCGCCGTTTCTGGGTATCGTCTGCTCCGGTTACAGTGGTGTGTCATTCGGACAAAACCAGACTGGAAATTTCACTGGATATATTTATAGCTGAAAGTTAACATTTTACTGTTAAAATAAATATCAAACGAGTTTATGTAAAACATTGATTTTCGACATGACTATG